CTGTATAGATGAGCATGTTCTTTCAGTGATATTGTTTCTGGTAATTGCTTTTGCTGATATTACAATTCCCGTGAGCTCGGTTTGAACTACACTGGCACTACTGCTCACAGCCCATTTTATGTTTTGGAACCGTCGGTTTAGTTGTGAATCGTACATGCCTCTTCTATTTGTTTCAATATAACTTTATATGGCTTATGGAAGATGGATTCCTTCTTCGCTTACAGGAGAAGAACCGTGTATCGAGCGTCACTCGTCAAAAGCGACGTCTCACTTTACCAGATCCTTCATCAGGTTCTATACCAACCATGTCATTGCCATGATAGCAAGCTCCTTGATGTAAATATAAAGGGGAATGATACATCCATGGCTCTCGTTGGTGTGGTCTTCATGACTTCTATTTTGTTGAAACATGTGTTTTAAATTTGGTTTAGTTTGTGGATAGCTTCAATTGTTGAGTTTTCTGTACCGTATGTTAGCATAGATCTTATGATGGCTGTGTAAATCCATGTCTCGATTTTCGGGGAGGCCCTAAGTGCGCCACACGATTCGGCGACATTGTTCATGACTCTATTTTCTAGATGTGAGTTCCATATGTTAATTTGCTCCCAAAGGTGAGATCTAGGTACTTCACCTCCATTACAAAGTTTAGTTTTGTTTTTAGGAACTCCTGAGGTTTTAATTCAATGGATGGGAGCAAGATAAATTTTTAATTAAAACAAATTTGAAAACTAAAACAGCACTAAACCGTGCGGTACTTTTGAATCTAATAATTTTCTAAATAACTTACTTTCTATCTCTCTCTTATCCTCATTGTAACTCGTCTGATGGGTTGGCTACAACGATTACCAACCTGCCATTAGTGCTTACATTGGCGGCGGAATAAATTTACTACCGTGGGGACACACGCCTCCTCCAGACACCCTTTCGCCACCAATAAATAAATAAATAACTGTGATCGATTTCCCGTGGGTGTATTTTTTGTCACACCTTCCAAATAAAAGACAAATCAAATTATACATACAACCATAAATAAAAAGATAAGGTCTATTAATTTCAAATAAAAAAAATAAAAATAAAAAATTCGTCCCTCCCATTAGTGCGTAATTACTCGATAAATCATTTTGTGTTAAGGACACACAAACAAGTTTCAAATAAGCGTTAAATTGTTTTTAAAAAGGCATATTTTAAAAATATTTTTGTATGTACAGGATGTTACGCTTTTGCCTGACAAATAAAAATATATATTTTTTAAATGGAACACCCTGTATTTTATTTCAATTTAGAATGGTCTTGTAATATTACAGGGATGCCAAGCAATTAATTAATTAATTAATTAATTTGTGAAATTTCAGAATGAAGTAGCCCCTTATTATCATATTCTAGGTAGATTAGCAATGATTTCAAAATTGTTTTAATTACACACTTTATAAGATACCAAGCTAACTAATCGTGGTGATAGAATAGAACTGGTTTATTTTATACAGAGTGTCTTGAAACGTGTCTTAAATATGGCTAATTTTAAGTTCAATTTACTCAAATTTTTCAAATGGAACACCCTGTATATTATTTTAGCATAAAATTTCTTATAGATTTATCTATCCAACGAGAGCAACAATATATATAGTTAATATAATAGTTAATAATAATTGTTTTATTATTGGAAATAAAAAGAAATTTTTAATACAAAAGTTGTACTACGATATTTTGAAATTATTCTTAAATATACAGGGTAGTCCATAAACGAGGGGCGAACCAGACTTATAGTTTTATAGACTTAACAACCTGTAAAACAGATTTGGTTGTTTTTACATCGTTAAACAATTTTAATAGACTTAAAATTTATAAAATATTAATTTGTTATTATGTATACAGGGTGTGCCTAAATGCGACATTACGATATTATCAATCTATAAATACATTTCTTTATTTTTATTTTGGTTGGCACTGCCTATACCCAAACACTTTCTGTCTCAAGATTTTGATGGTTTTGTTACAAAAATTAACATTTTTCAAATTGTAATTAGCTTTAGGAACCTTGGTCAGTTACAAAACTAAAAATAGGTAAATATAATTGAATTTTATAATTCTTTAAATAAAACAATCCCATTTTTAACGTTTTTCTTCTAAACATAAAAATAATTTATGGTCTTATTATCATGAGTAGCTCTAGGTTACAGAGTTGGTCTTATTATCATGAGTAGCTCTAGGTTACAGAGTTTAAAACATCTAGAATATAGATAATTACAGGTAAAACTTTATGACAATAAAAAACAAATGAACAAACACATACAATTTTTGTTAACCCATTTTTCAAAAATGATGGGTTTCTGATCTCCCGACGTCAAAAAAATGCATTTTGGTATAAGAAATACAAAGAAATTAATTAATTGATGGTATAGCATACCGGGTATTCCATTTAAAATATTGAGAAAATCGTAACTTTGAGTTTTGACATACCCTGTATATAGCATAGCAAATGAATTAAGTCTACTACTGTTTGATGATGTGAAATCAATCAAATAGGTATAACTTTAAAAAAGTATAAGTTTGGTCGGCCTCTCGTTTATAAAACACCATTTTTATTTGAAAAAAATTGTTAAATATGGTCATACAACTTTTATATTAAAAATTTCTTCGTATTTCCAATAATAAAACGGCTATCGATCAAATACGCACGGATTCGACACCCTGTATATATATAATTGGCTAACCTGTTACTATCATTGGATAGGTAAATTTGCGGCATTCTCTAATTTCACAAAAAAAATTAATTGCTTGGCAAACCTGCAGTTTTTTTAAAAAACATTCTAGGGTTGAATACAGTATTATAAGACTATTATAAAATTGAAATAAAATACAGGGGGTTCCATTTAAAAAAATATTCATTTTTATTTGCCAGCCAATTGCCAAGCAATTACGCACTAATGGGACACCCTGTGTATATATTTGATGGTGAATTGCAAATTTTTGTTTTAATGAATTTTGAATAGTTTTATAGATAATTTCTAAAAAAAAATAACTAAAAAGAATAAGAAATTGTAATTTGTATTATTTTTCGATAGTATAATTTTTTAAGGTTGCTTAGATGTAAAAATTACTTAAGGTGGTTACAGCACCCCTTATAATTTTCGGACAAGCATATCTCAAAAAGTCATTTTTTAAAAAAATTAAAACTTTGGGTAAATAAATTAGGCAATAATATCTAGAACATCTATTTTAAAGTTTAAATTCCTTCCAGTTTACAAGAAAAAAAAATAAAAGGGCTTTAAATTTTGAAATATAATGAAAATAAATGCATTCCTCAACACAGCACTATTCTTAATATAATCCCAAAATTTAAGCTCTTAAGGTCTTGTTAATAATTTTTTTAAATTCGCCAAAAATTCTGGCTAAAACGCCTTGTTAAGTGCTAGTTTCTGGTGTAAACTGGTGTAAATCGTTGCAAGAAACGAATGATGACTAAGAGTGTACGATACGATAGTTATAAACGCCTTACACCAGAAAGCAGCACTTATCGAGGCGTTTTAGCCACTAATTTCGGCCAATTTTAAAATATATATGCATTTTCTAGATATTATTGCATAACTTATTTTGCCAAAATTTAAATTTTAAAAAAAAACTTCTTTTTGAGATAAGCTTTTCCGAAAATTATAAGAGGTGCTGTAATCCTTAATAAACTACTTTTTTTTTGTAAAGTTTTCACAAGAATAAATTAGAGGAAAAGTTACTTTCCTACTGTATAGTTTGTGAGCAGAAAATATCATCTCCCTCATTAACAAACATTTGGTTAAAAATAGTTTTAATTTACAGCATGATGAACTAACCCAGGAAAAATAAATTGATATAGTAGCAACCATGCTTTGTCTAAAATAGTAGTTTTAATGTGATTTAATATGACATTCCAAAAAAATTAGCCATTGATTTTGAAAAATAGTGAACTACATCGTAGGTAAAGATTGAATACTATTTATTTTTCTTATTTTTTTGAAATCGAGGATAAAATACTGTTAAACAAGATGGGGTTATTTAAAATGATTGAAAATAATAATTTATCAATTTTCCATAGTGAAACCTTATTCTTTAATTTGGATGAAATTTAGATTTTTTTAACTATAACTATTACTATAGCGTGGTTATAATTAAGTGCGAAAAATTTTATGGGGTGGTTGCCGAAGTTATTTTATGAAAAACAGATCCTATAAACATAGGTCGAAATATGCTTCGTTTTCGAGATACAGAGTAATTTTTTATTCATTTGTGCATGTGTATTTTTTTGGAGTAGTCCGAATATTTCTACTTGCACCAGTGGCGTTTTTTAATTAAAAGAAGTGGTACGCCACTGACTCTTTTTCCCACCGAATTTTTAAACGAAATAATTTCGGCAACCACCCCCTAAAATCAGTCAATTTCACTTTTCGTTTACACATACGAGCTTTATTTTATACATAGTGATACCCCATCCTTAAGCAAATGTTCCTAGATTGTTATTATTATTAAAATCTGTTTTTATCATGACTTGGAATTATTATTCACCGTTGAAAAGAAACTGAAAATTGACGACTATTAATTTCACGACTGGTATTTTTTATGCATCATAGCTACCGATTTGAGTGATTTCGATCAAACACACTTATATGTATCAGCCGATTCGTTCTAATAACCTCTCCACCCTGAATAAATTTACGTTCGCTGCCGCTTTAGAATGTTCCAGAAAAGCGTAAGAGGCTTTATATGGAGTTGGGAATTCGACTGAAAGACCTTAAGACGTCTGAAGCAGTGGGAATGTTTTTTTTTTAATTTTCCTATCAATTTTTTCCATTCAGAATATCCGCAGTCAACATTCAAGCAATTTGTAGTCGAATTTTATTTGATATCGTATAAAATGTTTGAAAAGATTTTGGTATATTCGATTTCAATATTTAAATTTACGTACTTACTACACAGAACCTAATTTATTGACTCATTTTGTCCAGTATTAAATAAATTTTTTCTTGTTACAGGATCCGGGAAATCGTACACCATGATGGGTTCACAAGACAGCAAAGGAATTATCCCAAGGCTGTGTGATTCGTTGTTTGGCCTAATAGCAAAACAACAAAGTTCTCAATTATCATACAAAGTTGAAGTTAGTTATATGGAAATCTACAATGAAAAGGTCAGTTGACAATATATAAAATATACAAATTAGCTTTACCAGATACGTTTTGCAACGTACGGTGTGTCGAAATTTTGATGGTTATTTAAAATCTCATTAATTGAAGCAATAATAATTAAAACTTTTTTGACAATAGGTATCGTCTATGCAATTAATAAGTAAAGTGCAATTGAGGGAAATAAATTCGTAACTCATTAAACCCTGAAATCCGTCTGTTGAATTTTTAAAAAATTATCGGAGACGTCACGAATAAGAAATTTCAATTAGGGGTGAGGGTAGCCATATGTGAGTGGTTGGTATTGAGTACGAAGGTGTAAATAATAAATTGACTTTGTAAGAAATAAAGGACTTTTCTGTACACCTTGGTACTCAAAGAAATTTCTGACGAAACGCGCATTTTGATTTTTTTTGTTAGTTTGCATTGCACCTAGCTATATTTCAGCCAACCAGCACTTTGTCTTTATTATAAACTTAAGAGTTCACACAATGGTATCTTCTCCTTTCTGTTCTGATAATTATACACTGCACACGCGCACTTTCACATCACTAATTCAAATGGTTTGGTCCTCCTGAGCCTTCTCATTAGGTATCGATTGTCCAGAAACTGTAGAACTTCAATATTGACGTGATCATGCAGTCTTTTTTCATGTTTTTTTTTGCGATGATTTTCCTCTCTTTTTCGACTGTAGGTATTCTCAGATCTCTGAAGATCTGAGTTTCTAACATATCAAGGGGCGTTTACTATTGCCCTTAATATTTTGTTCTGGAAACGTTGTATTATAATTATGTTAGTTTTACTGGCACACCCCCAGAGCTGTTGCCGTAAGTCCATACTTGGTTCAGTACTTGTTTATATATTTAAAGTTTATTTTCGATTGAAAATTTTGATTTTCTCATCAATCGTATAATTTTTTATATTTAATACCCAATTCTTTCCGTTTTTTTTATGTGTTCTTTCCACTTTAATTTAATATCTAGATTCATTCATAAGTTTTTTACCGTATTAGAATATGTTATTCTAGTATTATTTAATGTCACTGGTAGGTATTCTACTGATCATTTATTAGTGAAATTAACCTGAAATGTTTTAGTTTCGTTGAGCTTAATGTGCTATCTTTTTGTCCACTCATAGATTTTATTAGTTGCATGTTGAAGTTTTCTGGTCGATTCTTTTATGGTTTTACCGATGGCAAGTGTGGCCGTGTCGTTGGCAAATGTGGCTACTTTTACATTTTGCGTTTGTGGTATATCGGAGGTAAACAACAGGTAAAGAATTGGTCCCAGAACACTTTTTTGAGATACCCCTGCTTTAGTTTCTTTAAGCTTGGAATATTCTTATTCTTGTTCTACTCGGAAGATTCTATCAGTCAAGTAAGATTTTAAGATGTCACAGGTAGAAGTTTATTTATTTTATATTCAACGCCCTCTAACCATACTTTATCGAAAGCCTGAGTTACATCTAGAAAGAGTGAGGTGCAGAGGCTTCTTTTCTTCCAGTGTTTTCTCTATTTCATTCGTTAGTCTGTGGACTTGGTCAAAAGTCGAATGCTTGTTCCTAAATCCAAATTGGTGGTCAGGTATTTTATTCTTGTCTATCCTGTCTATCAGTGGTTTCAATCTTATTAGTAAAAGTTTTTAGAAAAGTTTAGATAACACGGGTAACAGGGATATAGGCCTATATGACTTTACTTCATTTGGTGGTTTTCCAGGTTTGGGTATCATTATAATTTCAGCGACTTTCCAGATGCTAGGTACATGCTCTAGTCGAAATACAGCGTTTATTATATTAGTAAGTTTAACCACAGCTTTTCTTGGCAATTGTTTTAGTATTTCACCTGTAATCAGATCATACCCAGGTGCTTTCTTAGAATTGATATTTTCTTTGATTTCCTTAGCTACCTCTTTAGGCATTACCCTAGGAATTTATACTATGTTTGTGTTCTCTTGTTTTAATAAATCGAGTCCTCGTTCTTCATTCGGTTGAAACATTTTTTTCGAGATGATATGCAAAGACGTCAGCTTTTCGATCTTGCCCAGCTTCCATTGTCTTCTTATTATTGGCATATGGACTATTAAACAAGTTTCCTAGTCGCTTTCCTCAGAGAGTAATCAGTATTTTTATTGTTCGTCAATTTTCTGAGATGTGTCTATTGATTAATTTTTAATATTTCTCGTTTTAGTTGTTGTGTTAGTCTGTTGAGAACTACTTTATCTTCAAGGAATCTGGTGATTTGCCATTTTTCTTGCCTTTTTCTTCTTCTTCATTAGTTCTTCTATTTCTCTGGGTATGAATTGCCTACGTTTTTTCTTGTAATTTCTGGTATACTGTTCCACGATGATCTGTATGTTAATGACAATTCTCGTCCTCTAGTTGTTCTTTTGTTCTTAGTAGTGCACTTAGTTGGATTATATTACTTAATTCAGTTTTAAAATTTACCCAGTCTATCTTTACACAATGTGGGCCTAATTTCTTTTTAAATTATATTTTCACTTAGTATCATTATCACCGAAGAATGATCTGAGTCTAAGTCAAAGTTTTGTTCTATTTTAATAAAGTTTCCGGGTATTTTTCTAGTGATGTAGAAGTCCAGTAAGTCAGGTAATTTATTTCTGTCGGTTGACCACCAATAGGTTGGTTTTCCTGTTGATTGGTAGTCACACCCAATTCTACTTGCAGCTGCATACAATTCGCTACCTTTGATGGTTGTTAATCTCGAGCCACAGATGATATTTTTGGCATTGAAATCACCTCCCAAGATAAAATTTTCTCCCATTTGTCGTAAGAGTTCTCTGTAATTTTCTTTTTTCAAATTATGTCGTATATACTGCTCCGACTGCGAAACTGTATTTATTGGTTTTTATGTTAACTGCTGTTACCTGGATTTCTTCTGTTCCTATTTTGTTCTCGTCTAATGGTTTATATTTTCTTTTATTATTACGGCGCTTCCATCTCTAGCAGTATTCGAGGGATGTATAGTACTATAGACTTTGTATCCTTTAAATTGTATATAGCTTTTTTTCGTTAAATGCGTTTCTAATATTAGACAGATATCGATATTTTGTTCTATTAGGAACACCTGCAGCTCTTCTCAAAAGTCAAGGCGTCCTTTGGCATTCCATGTTACAATGATTAAGTCTTTACGCTCCATTAAAGATGTCTAGACGTTTTGGGGGAAGGTGACCTCCTCTAATCTGGTAATAGGTAATAGGTCGTCTAGATTGGGTATTATTTCTATTGTGGTTAGTTTTGCTTACCTGGTCTCTTCTTTATTGTATCTCCTTTGCCACTTGCATCCTCTATAGCTTGCTGGTTGTAATTGATTGCAATTTGCGCATTTTGGTGGTACATTTGCCGGTTTATCACACTCTAAACTAAAAATCGACAGGTTTCAGGATTTTTCTATAAAGTCGCTGGTTTACGAAATAATAAATTTATTACTTTTATTTGCGCTGTACTGAATATGGGAATATACCCACAACCAAACTCATATAGAATCACCCAGTATTTTACAGAAAAAATGTATTCATATGAATGGATATCGGAATATAGTTTATTTCAACATATTTTATTGCAAATCTTTAAAAAATAAAATAAAATTTCTTATACAGGGTGTTTCGCGGGGAAAAGACGTGTTTTGGAACTCAAAATAAACAAAAACTCTTGGGGTGGCCACTTTTTTAATGGGATTGTATTAGTAACTTCCAAACCATACTAGTTAGAAGGTCGGTTAAATGGAGAAAAAGTTACGTATCTCAAAGTATCATCTAGCGGTGGAAATTAATCAAAAATATCAGGACCGGGTCTTGAGATATGGCGATAAAAGGAAATTCGATCATTTCGATTTATTTTCAGAACTACCAAAAATTATTTTTGAGGTGTTTTTATTCGATAGTAAATTCTCTTTGATTTTACGTTTTCAGATGTTGCATCCAACGTTTCGATTTTTCTGGACCACCCTCAACTTATTTTTTTAAACACAAACCTGGATATTCGAAAAAACTTTCCATCCTGCCTCCAACGGTGTATCATACAATGCTATTCAATGACAATTTTTGGGTAATAAGGACTGTAATCCAAATTTCATTAATATAAATCTATATTGAATTTATAATCCAGAATAAAGTGATTAATTAGGAAAAAATAAATGAGAATCAATAATTATTTAATTATTCAATTATTCGACTATTAAAAAAATATGTTTTCATAAGATAAATAATTAAAAAATATTCCCGATTCCATTTTTGACAATACATGCCAGATTTAAAATATCGAACAAAAAATGAATTTAAAGAAATTACAATTTTCATTTTTTGTCCAATATTTCGAACTCTCTGTAGATATCAAAGATTTCTTGCCACCATTTTTGTCTAATTTAACCAACTTTCTATCTGTTACCGTTTAAGAAATAGCAATACTGTCCCTATGAAATAGTAGGGACCCTACTGTTTACCAATATAAAACAAGATATAACATCGGGTCGATGGCGTAGCTGTCTAATACGCTTATATTCATTTATAGGCAAGTTTGTGTTTCGAATCCTGCAGCAGACCATGTGAATTTTTAATTAAACTGCATGGTACGTTATACGATTTGATGTGTACCATATTAACAGAAATTTAATTTCTGTAGATATGACATTCAGATTATAAATCGCCATGCGTTACCGTCTTGATGATGGTGGGTGAGGTTTTCCTCAACTTTAACTCAAATGGCACCATCATCTTTAAGTCGCCCCGGAGCACCACGGCAAATAATAATAGCCGTCCCTTCCCCACAAAAGGTCAGTCGGCTTCAGAGAATGAAATTCACTAGTAAGGGTGTGAATTAGGGAGAGTATTATTATTAAAAGAAACGATATAAAGAATTTCTAGAGACACAAGGGCATACATTCATCATCGCCGGAGATTTCAACGCGAAAAACGCTCATTGTGGATCTAGGCTAACAATAACTAAAGGCAAATAACTTTTACTACCATGCAATCAATATAAATTCGAAATAATATCAAATCTACGATCCTGGAAAAATTCCTGATCTTATAGATATATATCAATGAACTACTTAGATGCTTAAAGAAGAAACTTGGGATATGAACTCAGATCATTCCTCTATACTTCTTACACTGAATAATAATTTAATTTAAAAAGAAACCCCTCCTAGATTACGTCAACAACCAAAGAGATTGGAAAAGCATCAAAGTATAACTTAACGATAAAATTAACCTTGCGGTACACCTAAGAACGGAAGAGCAGTTATATAACGAGGTTGATTAGAAATATACCAAAAATCACTTAAGAGGTTAAAAGGAAACAATTACCCGAAAGAAATTAGAGAAAAGTCAATAGATTTGCAGAGAAATTACATTTCAGCCAAATAATGAAGAACATCATAACTAAATTGAACAAATTACAGAAAATATCATCTTTCGACCTACTACTCCAAAGGAAGTTTGGTTAAATCAACAATAATAATCCGAAAAAAAGCTCTTGGTATTGACTTAATTACCAAGGAAATTTTGAAACAGCTTCCAAAGAAAGCAATTATAAAAATAATGAATCATTTAGATTTGGGTATGCACCTAAGTTTTTTAAAATAGCATAAATCAAAATTATTCATGGGCGCAACACAAGCTTTTAATAAAGTGTGGCATGATGGATCTTTCTAAGACAATATTCAGACCTATTGAAATCATATTTAACAGAAAGACAGCATTAAACAGGAAGAAGCATATTCTGAATTAGAGGAAATCAAGGCAGGAGTACCACAAGATAGTGTACTGGGTCCCGTACTTTACCTACTATATAACTAACCTTGAGAACGAGACATTATCTATATTTGTTACATTTAAATAAAAACTGTAAGCAATATTATCAAGGAACTTCTATTTATTTGTATAACATTTTTTTTGTAAGTCAATGAAAAAATATTTCTGTAAAATACTGGGTGATCCCATATAAATCTGGTTTTGTCTATTTTTATACACGATCATTTTCTGATATTTGCGCGTGTCTGCGTTTAATATAAATTAAATGAAACAAGAAAGTTAGATAGTTGTATTTTTGTTTTTAGGTACACGATCTCTTGGATCCACAAACAAATAAGCAGTCACTGAAAGTGAGGGAACATAATGTCCTTGGCCCCTATGTTGATGGATTGTCGCAACTCGCTGTAACAGCATTTCAGGTAATAAAAAATAATAAAGATTATAACGAATATACGGGCAATCATCCATCAATTTTGTTTATCGGTGAACTGCACAAAATAATAGCATTAATTTTAGTACAATTTTGTTTTTATTTGTCTTCTTTTGTTTAGATGTTTTGTACATTTTTTTTTAATATTTTAAAGGTGTTCAATTTAGAAAAGTAGTTATTTATTTACATCTAAAAATATTTTTAAAGTATGCCTTTGTCAAATACATAAAACTTTTATTTGAAACTTGTTTGGGTGTCTTTGGGTTTGTTCCAAAAACGATCAACAACAAATAATTTATTGCATAGAATCTTGGTGTCAGTGACTGGTTTCTGATCGTTGTTGGAACAAATTAAAATATCGAGCAATTAGGCATTAATGGGAAACCTGTATACCCACCAGTAATGCCTCGGTCTGTCCATCCAAAACTATTTGATTTTTTAGATGTTTTCTTAGAGATTTATATCAGAAAAGGTAACAATTTTAAAATAATTTCAATTATACAGGGTTCTCCAGAAAAGTGATACATAGGTTTTTAAACGGGACACCCTGTTTTTTTATTTTATATTTGAATTGCCCTCGATTTTTCCTTAACAATAATACCAAATAGTATGGGATTACACAGGGAATTTAACACAATGTAACCACCCAACAAATATTTTGTGTAGGGGAATAAAATACCTAATAATTGTTACTCTCCTGTAATGATGGCGATTTGACTTTTACAATCAAAAGGCCGCCATATATAGATCACTACGGCCGACAGTCGGACCGAAGTCACTTAGCCATCAAATCCAGTTAATATGCTTTCATTTCCCCTTTAATGTCTGCAGAAATAAATATTTTGGCAATTAATTTCCCATTGATGTTAACTGGATATTGCAAGCCTTTTACCATATTAATACTGACTGCTGAATAAAGGCCATGTGCCAATAAAAGGCACCAATACAGTTACTTATCCTTCATAAGGCCATCATCAAACAATATAACGCTCTTTTATCTTTGAATTGCCGCATTTATTTTCTCTTTAATTACAGCAAAAGGCCAGCAATATTCCGGCAGTTTATTGTTTGTTGGGCTGTTTTATACCAATTTTTTTCAGTGAAAGTTTTTCGATGTTAGTCTACATTTATGCCGACGCACCATTTTTTTCAATTCGAAAAAATCTGTACAAGGTTAATCAAAACTAAAATTCATCATTTTCTCATACTTTTTTTATATTAACCACCCTGTATTTTATATCATCACATATAAGTATCCTAATTATACGTTAAAGTTAATAATTTTGGGAGATTTTTGAATTAATATGACAAAATAGATAATTCAAAAAATACTTTAATTTTAACTGGTCACTGGTTGTTGAGCGGGCGGATAGAATAGCTTCACCCAGGCATTTACCATCGGGGTGGTAGAAGCACACCAAATGGCCACTTCCCAAAAATGGGGTATCAAGAGACACCTCTCGACGACGTTATTGACCTGAGAGGCTGGCTGACAATCCCTAGACAACCCCAGCGGTAACCAGCAGGTTTCTGACGAATTAATAACCTGCAGGACTTTGATGAGCTGAGAAGCTGGCTGTCTTAGAGACCTCAATGAAAACCAGCAGGTTCTGACAAGTTTAGAGGCAATTTCTATTTGTCCCTGGATGATGCACAATGGGCCTTATGAGGTCTAAGCGCTATGGAGCAACTTACCCTCACCCACTTTACAAATATAGGAAAGAAATAAGTTACTATTAAATGATGATATAAAACACAGGGTGTTTGAGTTTTGACTCACCCTGTGCAGACTTGTTTTGAATTGAAAAAAATAGTACATCTGCATAAATATTGACTAACAAGGAAAAACTTTTTCCGCAAAACAGTTGGTTTTAAATTGTTTCTTTTGCAATATACTTCATGGTAATGAATAAGATTTTCATATAAAACTTGGTTATTCTATTTGGTATTGTTACACTGGGAAAAGCGAGGCAATTAAAAACAATAAAATACCCATTTAAAAAAGCCTAACTTTGATCCTGGAGAACCCTGTATAATTTATAATGGTGGGTGAGGTTTTCCATGATGGTAAGTAAGGTTTTTCTCACCTGTAAATCAAATGGCACCATAAATCATTTTGAAGTCGGCCCGGAGCGCCACGGCAAATAATAATAGTCGTCCCTTCCCACACAAGCTTAGTCGGCTTCAGGGATTGAAATTCACTCGTAAGGGGGTAAATTAGTATTATTATTATTAATTAAAATAATTTTTAAATTGTTTCGTTTTCTAATGTACATCTCGCTCAGAAAACAGATTTAAAAAAAGTAAATATTACTTTTGGCTCTACAGACCGAAGCGTTTCTGTTTGCTTTGCTAACTAATCGAATTAAACGAATTGTTTATTTTTTTAAGGACATCGACAACTTAATGGCGGAGGGCAACAAATCCAGAACTGTTGCAGCAACAAATATGAATAGCGAATCATCTAGATCTCATGCAGTATTTACTGTAATCCTAACCCAAACACTTACAGACCATAAAACTGGTGTAACTGGGGAGAAAGTTAGTAGAATGTCGTTAGTAGATTTAGCAGGTTCTGAGAGGGCTGTGAAAACAGGAGCGGTTGGGGAAAGGCTCAAAGAAGGCTCTAATATTAATAAGTCGTTAACGACATTAGGTCTAGTCATTTCAAAATTAGCGGATCAATCGTCTGGCAAAAATAAGGATAATAGATTCGTGCCATATAGAGATTCCGTTTTAACATGGTTACTAAAAGATAACTTAGGAGGGAACAGTAAAACAGTGATGGTTGCTACTATATCTCCGGCAGCTGATAATTACGAAGAAACCTTATCTACTCTAAGATACGCCGATAGAGCAAAGAGAATCGTCAACCATGCTGTTGTAAACGAAGATCCAAACGCTAGGATTATTAGAGAATTGACCCAAGAAGTCGAAGCTTTGAGGGAAATGCTGAAACATGCAACCGTTAGTCATAACTTATATATTTATCTGTGCTTTATATCAAAATATATTTTTATTTTTAGGGCTCTCCTGTTGGCGACGTCCAAAGAGTAGATATCCATCAAAAGTTAAGCGAGAGCGAAAAATTGTACAAAGAAATGTCTCAAACTTGGGAGGAGAAGTTAATGAAGACGGAACGAATACAAAACGAACGGCAGCAAGCTTTAGAAAAAATGGGCATTAGCGTACAAGACTCGGGTATAAAAGTAGAAAAGAATAAATATTATCTAGTTAACTTAAATGCTGATCCCTACTTAAACGAATTATTAGTATATTATTTAAAAGATGTAACCGTAGTAGGTGCTAGTAATAATAGTTCCGGAATGGAACCCGATATCCAACTCTCGGGTTTAGGTATACAACCTGAACACTGTATTATAACAATTGAAGATAACGGATTGTTTCTGGAACCCCTTGCCAATGCCAGGTCTTGCGTAAACGGATCTCCAGTTAGTGAAAAAACCCAATTACGGCACGGTGATAGAATCGTATGGGGTAATCATCATTACTTTAGAGTTAACTGTCCAAGATCAATATGTAAGTTGCTTTTTTTTAGTGCTTTAAATTCAATACTAATTATTATTGTTCACACAGCTGCTTCGGAACCTCAAACTCCAGCACAAAACATCGATTACAATTTTGCTAGGGACGAGCTGATGACAAATGAACTAAGTAACGATCCAATACAAACAGCTATAGCACGTCTCGAGAAACAACACGAAGAAGATAAACAAGGTGAGCATAAGTTAAGATAATTCCTCAAAATATATATTTTTATAAACAAGACTCCACTATTTTAAAGGGATTCAACCTCGGAATGAGAGACAATAAGCTGAATATTTGCATACACCTTGGATATTTTAAAACACGTACACATGATCACATGTGAGTTTTCACACAGTGTTTAGGCCAACAGAAAGGTTTATTCAAATATATAGTGTTCTAAGGTGTTCCCTTTTTTGGCCTTATTTGACTGAATTATTAGACTATTCTTAATTTTTGCTTTTGTACACTACCTAGGGTAGTATAATTTGGTCCTTTCCAGTTTTTAAATTATTGTTGTTGATTGTAGTGGCTCTGGAGAAGCAGCGCGTTGAATACGAAAGGCAGTTCCAGCAGTTACGCAACATGGTCTCACCCTCAACACCGTACTCCCCTTATTCCTACGATCCCCTTAGAGTCGGTTTAAGCAAAACAGCCCCATGCACGCCCACGACACAAATGAAAGTGGAGAGGTGGGCGCATGAGACAGACGAGATGTTTAGGAGAAGTATATGTCAATTAAAAGAGGATATACTGAGGGCTAATTCATTAGTGAAAGAAGCCAATTGCCTTGCCGACGACATGGGACGACAAACCAAGTTCAGCGTTACCTTACAGATTCCCCCAGCTAATTTAAGTCCAAATAGGAAAGTAAGTGAATTGTGATAATTAAGATTGATTGTTTTATTAGTGGTTTGTTTCATTTTTAGAAAGGTGCTTTTGTTAGTGAACCAGCGATTTTAGTTAAACGAAATACTTCTAGTCAGGTGTGGTCGATGGAGAAATTAGAAAATAAGATTATAGATATGAGAGAATTTTACGAGGAACATAGAGATATAGAAAATGATCATGAAAATAATAATGAAGTGAAAGCGTCTGACCCATTTTTCGAATCCCAAGAGGAACATAACTTAATAGGAGTAGCTAATGTATTTCTTGAATGTTTGTTTCACGACGTTTCTTTAGATTACCATACGCCTATTATAAGTCAACAAGGGGAAGTAGCAGGTAGATTACAAGTCGAATTAAGTAGGATAGCTGGGAATTTTCCCCAAGATAGAATGTGTGAAGCTGCATCGGACAATTCATCTGAATGCAGCCACGAAGATGATGAACCAGTAGCAAGTTCACAAGTCACAATACGCGTCAGTATCAAACAAGCCTCAGGTTTACCGTTGTCTCTTGCTAATTTCGTATTTTGTCAGTATTCGTTTTGGGGACACCCAGAAGCCGTTGTAGTACCTGATACTGCTGATCCCAATACAAGTGGTCAGCCAACCACAGTCAAATTTGATCACTCACAAGACTTTATAGTGAACCTTTCTGAGGAATTCGTAGACCTCTGTACGGAAGGAGGGGCGCTTTCAATTGAAGTGTGGGGCAACAGAAGTTCCGGCTTCTCAAAATACAAACCTGGATGGGAGGTAGTAGAACAACAACTAGCCACAGCTAGATCTTTGTTGGATAGATGGTCGGAATTGACGAGGAAAATAGAATTGTGGGTGGAAATTCAGGAATTAAACGATCAAGGCGAATACGGTGCCGTGGAAGTGGCTATGAGACAAGATATGCTAACAGGTGGTATTTATCAATTAAGACAGGGTCAACAACGAAGAATCCAAGTAAGAGTTAAACCGGTTCAAAACTCTGGAACACTGCCCATAATTTGCCAGGAAATTATTAAAATTGAAGTAGGTGGTGTAATTGTGAGAAGCAGATTACAAAAACCCTTAGACTCATATCAAGAGGAAGACTTAACTGTACTTAGAGAAAAGTGGAGCGACGCCTTGCAAAAGAGAAGACAATATTTGAACCAGCAGCTACAAAACCTTTCCGAAAAAATCGATAAAACCGAACAAGATACAGAAAGAGAAAAGAGTTTAATAGACCAGTTAGTTAATTTAACCGAGGAAAGTAATGCTGTGTACGTACCACAACCGGGTACTGGTATACCAGGAGCACCAGCCATGTGGAGTCCACCATCTGGGATGGAACCCCACGTGCCTGTCCTTTTCCTTGACTTAAACGGTGAGTCACTTAAAACATGATTATGTATTAAAAATGAGAATAATTCCAAAATAAAAAAGTTAGTGTGCGGTAATCATTTAAGGGCATATAAATCGCCACGCCTCGTCTGTCTGTTCTTTTTGGTAACCTTAAATTTTTAATTTTCTTTATAGTTCCATACCGTATTAATAGATATATTTTATTTTATAGCCTATGTATATTTGTTGTATTTACGATCTTTTTAGATCTTAGTATGATATTGTAGATTTTTAGATTGTTTTTGGTCTTGGAACTAAGGATATAATATAACCGGCATTCCTTTAGTTATTATCGTAGTTTCGTCATATTTTTCTGTTGTGCTTAATTTAAGTTATAAAGGAATTAATTCTCCATATTAAGTACTTATTATTGGTCGATTTTAGCTGATGATTTATCTACAAATCCTGCTGGGGAAGAAGTGACAATTGCAGGTGTAAATTCCATTTTACCGAAGGAAGATGGAAAGGAATTCTACAGTTTGCGGATCTTAAGCCACTTGGAGAAAGACGTCTGCGCAATAGCCGGTTGGGATTCATCAATCCATGACAGTCCAAATTTAAATAAAGTCACAGAAGGTAAATATCTTATTAGTACGAATGTAAATTTTATTTAACATATACCTTGCATTTTTTAGCCAATGAAAGGGTATACATGATTCTACGCGTGACAGTACGTCTTTCTCATCCAGCTCCGATGGATCTCGTTCTTAGGAAAAGATTAGCAATAAACGTTTACAAACGTCAAAAATTCACAGACATAATCAAAAACCAGATAAAATCAAAAATAGTCCGTACCGATATGGTCACGTCATCCGGTGTTACATATTTAGTAGTGTCAAATGTACCTAAAGCTAGCGAAGAGTTGGAGGGTAGAGAAAGTTTAGCACAATTAGCAGCTTCCGGTGAAAATTCCTCTATGTGCGATGGAGAAACCTATATCGGTATGTTTTACCTCATTACCTCATTACCAGTGTGGTATATTTATTGGATATGTTTGTAGAAAAATACACTCGTGGAGTAAGTGCCGTAGAAAGTATTTTGACCCTCGATAGATTAAGGCAAAGCGTTGCTGTTAAAGAATTGTTACAAGCAAGAGGGCAGCCACTTATGAGGAAGACAGTCAGTGTACCTAACTTCTCTCAGGTAAGATGTCATTAGCCAATTTATTTCTTTAGCTAATATTTGGACGGTGATTACTTTAATAAAAGTATGAGGTGTGGCTAGAAAAAAAAACGCTTGTTAATGCTATAAAATCGTTCATTGATTTCCTTTCACGATTTTAACATTATCGGCTTTAATATACTTCTCTCCACGATTCCTACACTGCTAAATGCTAATTTTCCTTTATACATAGCAGTGGTTTTAATCATTTTATGAAAGTATGTCTATGGTCCCCGTTGCTTTTTCTTTGACAGCTCTATGTGCCAAATTTGGTTCCATTCAATGCCGAGTTGACAAATTATTTTCTTGCGAGTATTATTGCTCAAGGTGATTTTCAGAAAAATACACCAATATTTCGCAATGTGGCAACGGTGTAAAGCAGGCGTAGTATTCATGGTCTGGTTCAAGTTAGAAAGAAAATTTGTAAAGTTTGGTTTAGATTTGACATAAAATAAATTAAAACATGTGTTCTCGGTCTGTAGGATCTAGAGCGAAAAGTTAGTTAGTAGTCGGAACAGGTTATAATTCTGTCCGAAAACAAAAGGAACATGAGTGTTAAATGTGTAAGTGTTTTAAAAACACAACTTATCAATCTGCCCTTGTGTACTGGTTTTAAAGAATAACAAGGTCAGAACTGAAAGCTCGGTGAATATGAGGATTTGCTTAAAATTAAATTATTTTTGACTTTGTAAAGATTTTGAATTACGGAAGCATCTTTACTGTATGAGGCTGTTAGAATCCGCAGTCTGGAGGGGGTGCTACCATCAAGCATATCTTCGAAGATTTGGGTTCGGCGAGTATTGGCTAACACCGACCGATATAAGAGAAGCGACGTTGTCAAATACATCAAATCTGTAGGCTGGCTGACGGGCTAAGAGGCGCCAAAAAAAATATATTGAAGAAAATATCAATACAGTAGGTGACACATTGAGGCTAGTGAGGCCCAAATTAGAGATACAGATATTATTTTACAAAAAATAGGAGGCGTGTATGAAAAAAATTAATACGATAAATAAAAAAATAAAAAAAAACATAAATACATTCACATATCTCTGTGAGATTTAAAGAACATTTTCTTCTTTATTTTTATAAAATAAACTCTCACATGGCTATCCTCAGTATCAAAAAAGTCACATGAGTCGAGATCCGGTGATTAGGGTGAAAGATCTAATCATGGAACTAACAACTTGGCTATAAATCTCTTCACACATAGTGCAGAGTGACCTGCAGGGTATTACTGATGAAGTCAATGAATTTATTTTATTAAATTCTACCTAACACTTTTTTATCGATTCAGCAACAGCCTATATACCTAAACTATGTTTTCTTTTCGGATTATCGCACCAATGTGTCTATTTTCGATGTGCAAGATCGTGCGGCGCTTCGTTGAAAATTCAAAAACCTGAGTGCGTGATAAAAACTCATCTTTATGCCCTTCTTTCAATAAAACATACGTAGCTGTGGCGGATTTTCCGAGTTTCACAAAGAATTGGCATTGACGCTTGCTCTCCTTGAACACATAAACATATTTCCGACATAGCATAGATGCAAGCGATGTGCAATCTTTACAACAATAGCAACAGAAAGAGGAGATGTCACGTGATACGTTTGTGTTTGACCTTATCTGCAGAACGATTAGTTCTGTTTTTTCTAGTCACACCTCGCATGTTTCGATTTCTTTAAATAAAACGTATTATGTCCAATTATTTATTTTTTTATTAATATCTACTTTTTTAACACTTAAAATTTTCTTTAAACACGCTTAGAATGATTAAAGTAGCTTATATTTTTACACCACATCACATCATATATAGGCTATTTGGTAGTTAAACGATATAATATTTCCCTAACGGTAGATGATCAACAATAAGACATTTAAAAAAATATATTTTCACTACATAAAAGTTATCTTTAGGGAAATAATCAGTAATGTTTAGTTACCAAAGATCACATTGTTGATAGTGTCCCAACCTGTATATACGAGAATGGAGCAAATAGTTCGTAGAATGATGGATAATGGTGCTATTTAAGACTAGCGCGATACCTAATTCAAACTGTTCACACCTCTGAAGTAAAAATAATTGCATCCTCTTTTTTGAGATACTAAAGATAGAATATCTGGACTAAATAGGTTTTGATTTGCTGCCATATTCCTATTTCGATACCTGAACAATCCCTAACATGTCATTAAAAACAGACTATGTTAATGATACTGTTTCCTAAATACAAAAACTTCATCATAATCATCATCTAGCATAATGCGTTTAAAAATCATTTGTTGATGTGGATTACTCCCCTTTTTGCATTTCGATTTCCAGTCTGTTATTCCTATAATTATTGTATCATCTTCGATATCCTCTCATCAACTTTTCCTTTTTTAGCCACAGTGAGATCAATTATTTTTAACCATTAAGTTGGGTTTCTTCTCACTGCCCACTTCGCTGTGCTGTTTTTAACTTTTGATGGTTTCACCTCCGGTTTCGTTTTTAATTTCTTTATTGGTTTGTAGTCTCTTTTCTCCATTTTCTGTTAAACTTGGACCTACTATGACTCTCATTATTTTCCTCTATGCTATTTTTGTTTTTCATATATTTATTGTTGCTGTTTCGATAGCACACGCAATTGTTGGTATTATAGTTTTTTTGGCGATAACTATACTTTTCAGAAGATTTCTGTTTCTGATATAAGCTTAGTTTCCTTTAAGAATCCCTTCTTTTATGTGTTTCCTTCCTAGTTGTTTTATTGTCGTTCCTAGAGAGTTGAAGGAGGTGACTTGTTTCGAATTTTTGTCTCTATGTTTTTAGGTATTCCTGCTTATTACTTTCTTCTCTTCCTACTTTCATATATTTTGTTCTGATTGCTTCCAACTTGTCTAGCTTCTTTCTATCGTTTTAACAGTTTTTGTCTCAGCGTAACCGATTATTTGAATTTCGTCTGTTATGATGTTTTTTGTTCAGTTCTGTTCTTCTTATAATACTTTTCAGTACTAAGTTAAACAGGATTGGAAATCTAAAAACTTAGCACAGCCTAATATGTTCAAGTCATAGAATCGACAGATGATTATGTTAATAACTTCTATTCTCGTATATCAATAGGCGTTTATCACAGTTGGGAAATTTTTAAAATACTTTTAAACAATTTTTTCATTCATATTTGAATATTATTTTCAGTAGCATTGCCCAGCTGTGATATTTGTAATAACACGCTACCACAATATTTGTATAAAAAGCTTATTTACCACACCTAATTATGTTTATTAGTATTAATATAATAATTATTTTGCCTGCTAGACTTTGGAAAACAAAAATGGGGTACGTTAATCACGCTTTTAATGTTATACCTTTACCTAAATGAACAATTAAGGAAGGCGCATGTACGTGAAAGTGAGAGTAGTACAAGTGGGCAATTCAAACCTAACATTTCTGACCTGTTCATTATTAGATAACAGAAATGTTAATTTTAAAATGCCCAATAACTCTTGTTTTAAACAATAATAAAACTGTATATTTCAATTATTGTATACTTTTTAGTTAATGAGACTAGATCACAGCAGTGAATCCCTGCACATGTCCAGATCAGAGAGCGTATCAGAACTGACCAGCGAATTAGGTTTAGGACCTTTAAGATCTCGTTCTTCGTTTGGAAAGGAAGCAGAGACAACACCAACAAAATATGGTGGACTAGGTAAATTTTTTAAGCTTATTATTTTTTAGATGACAATATAAAATGTTCCAAAGTGTTTAACATACTTTATATATAGAGCATAGCTATAGAACAGAATAAAGGTAGATATTACAAATGATTGGTAATTTAGTAAAATATAAAGGCTGTGTTAGTATTAGTATTCGTGGTTTTTTGAGTAAGTTAAATATATTGAACTGTTTGAGATTTTCAACAAAATGTAAACTTAAATTCTTTACCAGGACAGTATCTGAGTACATGAAAAGGTATAAATATTCTGTAACATTAAATGACGACATTTGGATTAAGCCATTAGTTTTTCTTTAAATATAACTGTTTTGGACTTACATAAGCTATTTTTCAAAAATGAATCAAAATAAACCTTATAAATTTAATGACACTATTAATAACAACCAGTGAACTTCCATTAATATTCTTTTTATATCAAATGGTACCTACTCTTTGTTTACACCACGGAAAAATTTCATTACCTAAACTATAATAATATTTATTTTCAAGATAGACCAACTAGTCTGGCTAATTGGCAATGCCCAGGCCATAAATTAAAAAAATAAATAAAAAGATAGACCAAATGTAAATAAGACAGTTCTCTGTTAGATCCTTACTGGTTTCTAAAGTTGTAACAGATAGGTTTATAGGATTTTAACTAGAATTTTATATTGAAAGGGATGATCTGTGACAATCTGCTAATATAAAAGATGTTTCTTCCAGTTTAATCTTTAATCGGGGCGAGTTTTTTACCGATACTTTAGGAATACGAATCGGGACGGTGGTGGTGTAGCGGTCTAACGCGCTTATATTCATTTATAGGCAAGTTTATGAGTCCGAGACTGCTGGGCTTCGAATCCCAGACCGGACCATGTGGATTTTTAATTAAATTGCATGGTTCGGTTTAGGATTTGATGTATGCCGTATTAATAGAAATTCAATTTCTGTTGATATGACATGCAGATTATAAAATCGCCATGCATTACCGTCTCGATGATGGTGGGTGAGGTTTTCCGGGTTTTCCTCACCTGTAAGTCAAATGGCACCATCAATCATCTTTAAGTCGCCCCGGAGCGCCACGGCAAATAATAATAATAGCCGTCCCTTTCCCCGCACAAGCTCAGCTTTTGGGGTTAAAATTCACTCGTAAGGGGGTGAATTAGGGAGAGTATTATTATTATTATTATTATTAATATTATAATGTTTTGTTTGAATAAACCATGTTTTGATCGTGATATACCGGCATTACGGCAATGCATATATGCAGCTGTAGTGATACAGGTCAGATACGAAAACAGTTATATTTAAGCAAATATATAATATGTGGATTGACCCAAATGACATGAAATAGCTGTTAGGTATTTAAAATAGTAAACGAAAAGGTACAATTGAAAATTATGACTAATTTTTCATTGAATTTTCTTCGTGCAACCACAAGGCTCCATTCTATCAGGTAAAATGGAGGCTTGCATACTAAGATTGCTATATTAGGTGGATAATATGATGTGACAATTGTAAAACGGTCACCTGCTTGAAATTTAAAACCGAAACAAGTTTTGAGATTGTCGTTTGCATCTCAAATCTGTGTTACAGACGTAGTTAGAACAATTGTAGATATGAATAAACAGCATGTTATGGATCATTTGCCATTTTAGTTTTAGCTTGAATTTACTGAATTCAAATGAATACTGAGCTTCTAAAAGAAACAGTAATGGCCGATACCTCATTAATTGTACAAAGTTTACCATTGTATTTACTGTAATGAAGTCACAGAGACCTAGACTATTCTAAACAACCCCCAAAAACATTTCCGGGTGCATCGTGAGCATGTGTAGTGGATATAGATATGAAAATTCACACAATTTCACAGGACTTTTTTCATTCAAGATTTTATTAACGCCTGCCAACTTGCAAATAGTTCCAGTCTTATTTATATCAATTAAAACAAGTAAAGATCAGTGTAGGTTTTAAAAAATCTTAAACAGTCCTGTGAATGTACAAAAAATTAGATTCTCGTATATTAGACTAGTTCCAATTTTCCAAAACAAGTCACCAAAGCGTGTCTTAAAGAAAGTCAGGAAGAAAGCTTTTCTTAATGAAATCGATCCTAATGTTTGGTGTAATACCAAACCAATTTTTAGAATACTGTATCATCTTCAGGAAATTAAGCTACGTATCTTGGGACCCAGCAAAATAGACATGCAATTAATATGGAAATATTAAAAAAGAAAATTAAAGCAGCAAAGGTTATGATGGTATAACTAGAAGAAATCGAAAAAGTTATCTGCAAAATATGCAAACAAGGTTGGAGCCATTGCAGGTCTGAGTTGCGCATTGCGCAGGACATATTTGTTAAAGTCAAGCATTGTTTTGAAAAATATCTGGAAGAATGCTTTAACCGATTACGATTTTGGTATTTTTGGAACTAATCCACACCGATCCTCCAATTGGCAACTTGCATGTTCTGTTTTTTATTGTTAGATTGGAACTACGTCTCTAGTGGCTTTAAAAATTCGATCAACAATTTGTCATTATGATTCCCAATTGATGTAGAAACGATATGTCTGCGCACGTTGACCTCACGTTTATGCGGTCGCACTAAAAACGCTCTTAAAATTTTCAGCACGGCCCACGTTCTTAAACCTCAACTTAAACTTGAATTCGCTGAGATTACAACAGCCAACAGCAGCAACGAAACGTATGTTTATTCAAAAATATTGGTGTAATTAAATTAGTTTTTTTTTTACTTTTATTTAAAACAAATATTTTAATTTTCAAAGCATGCGTTTTTTATATTTTTTTATTTTATTGCAATATAATGAAATCAAAAAACTCTTCAAGGGGGATGAAGATTTTCAAAAACCCACAGCAACATCGAAAGGATGAAAAACTGGAAAATATTAACATAAATTTATTCCAATTATTAAACACTCTGTATAATGTTTATATTTCTAATAATGCCGGAGTTTTTCAAAATAATTGGATCACCCTGTATATACAAGGATGACCGCAGGCGTGTTTCTAATGGGGCATAGCACACGAACGGTTTATCTTTTATGAATAGATAATTCAATAATCTCTGCTCTATTAAACTTTCCTCTATTATTTAATCATTAGCTAAATCAGTGCCAGGACTAGAATTACTATTTGCTTATTTCTTTTGTGTTCTTATAAAGAGTTTATTTTTATTTTAGTAGCTATTTGTAATATGTTTTAGGCCTTCCAAATTTCTTATGCATTAATTCTATAAATTTTTAGTTTTCCCTGGAATGGTATCACCAGCAAACGCCAAATTGGGACTGAGAATGACAACATTACACGAGGAACCAACCAAAGCATTGCCTCGAAAACACTCATTCGATCTGTTAATGGATGATCCAATAGAGGAACAAGACGAAGGATATACTGGGAAAATCGAAACACACGTAAGTAGTTTATATACTTTTTATCTACGTTCTCGCCCTCCGGGCTCTTCAAAATACCCATATTATGTTAAGTTAATACATAGCGACCTAAAAGATCTATTGTGTCCTCTTCTGTCGCTAAGGCAGAAAAGGAATAGTCTTGATGTCTATAATGACCCTTTCAATCCTATCTTCCCAAGGAAATATAGGATTTGGAGTAGCTCCAAGTTGGCATGCTCCTAAGTATAATGTCCTTGGATTCTATAGTGCTACACATTCAGTCCTCCTTATAGAATCTGCAGTCACTTGTAGGAGTCCCAGTTTACTAAGGTATCCTTTGAGTAGGAAGTCTGATAAGGATCTGTTGCCTGTTCTTTGTCAGACCTGATACAGCTTTAGATCTTTTTTGATTTTAGCTACCCAGAAGTATCTTACCCTGCCTTAGCACAAAATGATCCTTCTATTTGACAGTTCTTCTACACCAATTCTTTTTAATCTTTCCTAATATTGTGTTACTTTACCCCGTTGTGTCCCAGGACTTAAGTGAGAGTAACTGTACTTTACATAAGATTCATGGACAGACTTCTTCTAGCTTTCTGTTCTTTAATCCTGTTAACTTTTGTTACAGTATGTACAAAGGAAGAAGACTCACGCCAAAAAATGTTTACCAATGTCGCGTACGTTGGACTCTCTAACAGAATTTGCTCCCAAACCCAATACACCTTCTTCAAGCTCAAGCGGATATGGATCACAGGCTGTTTCAACAACAAATCTATGCGATGACGCGTTGTCCCTGAAGAGTTTAAGCGTTGACGAAACGCCAGACCTTGAATGTCAAGTGAATAATTATTTGGAACCGGTAACAGAGATAACGGATGTTTCTAAGGAAACTGAGGTATGATAAATACATTTAGAATTTATTTCTGTATTTCTAGATAGTGCAGGTAGTTGTTTACATCCAATACATACCGGAGATAATAATCGACTTAGGTGTAAACTCTGGGTATTTTTTTAGTGTCTGTCTAATGAAGAAGACCAGGGATTTCCGCACAACGATGAGAGTTCAGATGACGTGGTTAACGGTGTAGACAGCGATTCAAATCAAAATCAAACTGGAAGTGACCTTAACGATTCAAGCTCTTTAGTAAAAACGAACTTATCTCCTGGTCGAGTTGTTAGAAGGAAAAAACAAAGCACAAGAAGCCACACTCAAAGGGCATCTTTCCCACAAATTCGACCGCTGATGTCGGAAAGCAGATCGGCACATAATTTGAGCATCAAGAATAATTTAATACTGTCTAACGAAGAAGACAGTATGGACAGTTCCACAGATCGTTTAGAAGGTAATTAATCGTGTAAATTTTTAGATCTGTGAGTTGTTTTAAAACGGTTTTATTTCGTAGATGATCAAGAAAACAGTTTTGGTTCCCGCCCCGATTTATCAAAATTCCACGATGTTCCCGTCCCTGATTGGGTAGTATTAGGAGAAAGTGTTCTTATTAAACGTTATAATTCGCCAGGAGTTGTAGCTTACATTGGAGAAACTGAATTTTCGACTGGCACTTGGATTGGAGTGGAACTCGATGCTCCAAAAGGTGAGCATTCAATTTTTTGGTACTTTATGTCGCTTTTTCTTAAGAATATCTGTTTTATTATTTAATTTAATTCGTTTCTTTAGGTAAAAATGATGGCAGTATAAAAGGCGTCCGTTACTTCAGCTGCAAACCACAACACGGCATGTTCGTGAGGGCAGACAAATTACGGTTTGACCCAAGAGGACGAGCCATGAGGCTTGACAAAGCTGAAGCCCTTGCCAACAGTAGTAAATGTTCTTTAAGTAAAGGTATATTCAATATCATTGGATAATCAATAAAATTAAGGACGGGGTATCTCTGTTTATAAAAACCGTATGAATAGACAAACAATTAAATCGACTAATAACATACAAAGCACAGTAGAGCGTCCATAATCCGGACGTCAAAAATCTGGATTGTCGATAGTCCGGATTAAATTCCGGTGAAAAAAAAAAGTTGAAGTGAATACATGAATATATACATATTATTTGTCAAACAAAAGCATTGGGTGGGGGTCGTCTTAACTGCTACAAAATGTATAAACTGTACACTATCCTATAAATACATATTGTACATTACATAATATGTATGTATATTCTTTTATTAAAATACATTATAAATTCATATTAAGTAATGGTTTTATTTTTATTTATCTGCTCAATTGTTTAACCCCAAAAGTGAATTATTAACAGTTTTAGTAAGTTTTCTTTTTGTCTTTTTGTTGTTGGTATTATTTTTGAAAATTTGGACATTTTGATAATCCGGACAGCGTCCGGTCACAATTAATCCGGATTATCGACGCTCTACTGTATTTCAAAATTTAATTTTTGGGGATAACTACACAGAACCCTTTTTGTATAGCAATTTATCCAAAAGAATTGTCGTCTAACAAAATCGCGACACCGTACGTGGAGTGTATAAGTCTTTTGTTCATGAAATATTCTTATTTAACATTGATAAATATATATTAATCGGTTATTTAGCATACTAATTTATTAATATAAAATAGTAAATACAATGTTATAATTGACTGTTACTTCATCTATTAGTAAATAGAGAAATTACGTTTTCTATTAAGTTTCGACAACTGTTCGATGGATGGTTCGGTAGAAGACTTAAAATTATTAAAGACATAACTTGGACATAACGAAGCTTGCCGCCATCTCTTACTACTTCTCTGGTACAGCAGACTGAAGTAATCCGGGATCATGGGCGAAGTTATGTCATCAGATCTGGGGGGGCTAAAGCCCTAACCCTAGTCATATAATATATAATAGTTCTAGAGAATCCACTCGAGTTGTGCAGTATATTTTTTCTACGAACTACTAACGAAAATCTACAAATTTAAAAAATTATTTTAGATTTAGACAAAATAAGCAATTTTAAAATAATTTATAAATTTTATTAATTTATAAAATAAAAAAATTTGCCCCTATAGTCCAGATTCGAACCCAGGCTATTCGCATGGAAGGCAAATGCTCTGTCCTCAGATCCACCGCCACTTTTAGGTTTTTAATTTTAATACTCGTAATTAAATTAGTTTCATACAATTTGATTAAAATTTACTTTTTTAAATGTGGCCCAAATAAAATTAAAATGTTATTTTTTATCGATTCTAAACAAAAATAACTAATTTTAACGTATATGTAATCTTAATGACTAAAAAATATACTGACAGTTTGTCAGAATTTAAAATTTTAAAAATAATAGTAATTGGATGTCCAAAATATGAACTGGGATTTGTGGATTTCATTATTTTGCAATTCTCTCGCTATGTTATGTTATGTTGGGAATGGGGGTGTTAATACACTGTGACCTAAAATATCTATTGTGCCCCCTTGTGTCGCTAATGCAGCAAGGAAATGTCTCAATGCCTATAACGACCCTTTCAATTATATCTTCTCAAGGAAGTGTAGGATTTGGAGTGGCTTCAAGTTTCTATTTGATATGCTCCTAGGTATAGTGCCCTTGGATTCTGGAGTGCTACACATTCAGTTAGAATGTAAATGAAGGTTTCGTCCTTCTCCTCACAGAATCTTCACTCACTATTTTCTACTACTCTCAGTATACTAAGGTGTCCTTTTAGTTGGCAATGCCCAGTAAGGATCCCTGTTACAAGTGTCCTCAGTACTAGAAAAATGTATATTATGATACCCGCTTAAAATACAATCTGGCTAATGTGGAATACCCCGAAAGCCTTGCCAGACTTGTCTAATGATCGTCAGGCGCGCTAAATTCTGCACGTTCGATTACTATTCCTCTCCTCGTTTAACTACCTGGCTTGTCAGGTCCGACCGAAATACGGTTTTATAACCGAAACCGAAACCCAATTTCGGCTCCTTTCTTAGTTTCGGTCGAAACCGACACAGAAATAAGAACTTTCTTTTAAGGCAATCTCTTATTGAAATTTGCAATATCTTTGCTTAAGACTAATTAACTCGTATTATAAATTTTAGCTACATTTACTTATTACCTATTTATTTATGTGATCCAAAGAAGCCATTAATAAATTTATTGACATTGTTTTTTTTTATTACTTTTGAAACTAAAAAAAAATAAGTGAATTACAAAGTAGCAATCATTTCTGCATCTGTCTCTAGATTTTTTGTAACAAAAAATAGTATTATGAAGGGAATTATGTATAATGTAATTGTTATTTAAAAAAAAAACAAATTCAGATAATTAAATAGGTTTGTTACTTATAATTAAAGTAATATTCATAAGTAAACAGTCTAACGTTGTAGGCTAGAAATATTTTTTCCACGTTTCACCTAATAAAATGCTCCTTTGATACAAATAAATTAGGCCAGGACCACTGAAGACTGTTCACTTGAAACAAAGCAGAGAAGTACGTGCACTGTGTAGGAATGGCACCCGGCACAGTCGCCATTGTGCCGGACACAACCAAGTGTGATACGAAAACTTTCGTAGTAGTTTCGTAGTTGGCTGCAGTTTCGGCCAGTTTTCCGCCGAAACCGAAACTGTAGTCGAAACTTTTATTTTAAGCCGAAGTTGGCCAAAACCGTAACCGAACCTTCGGCCGGACACTACTTGTGAGTCTGGCAGGCATTCGTGATTTTAATTGTCAGCCAGACCTATATTTTCACTTAGAATACCACTAGTGCCTAAATTATTTCCGAAATTTTTTTCGAACTTACGAATATTTTGAAATTTATCCTGAGTCGGAGACGATTGATATTTTTCTTAAAATATGCGTGAGTGAGCAAAAATTTACTGATAATAATTTAGGCACCAGTGGTAGGTATTGGGTAAGAAAATTTTACACCAAAATATCCAAATTTCAAAACTTGACAGACATACATTAAAACGACTAAAATCAAATTTTCAAAGCTGGCCATAGAACAACATAATATAAAACATATTCATAAAAGAGCTTCTCAACTGTCAAAAAAATTTTCAGTATAATTTCGTTCAGGGTACCCACCAAAAGAAAAATTTCCGGAAATTTTTCATGGAAGCGTTTGAAAATAACGGTATTTGATCTGCTATAAAATAGAGCTATAAAATTATAATATAATCTATCACATGACAAATTTTCAAACCCGGGAAAATAAAAGCAAAAATATGATATTTTTTCGATTTTGAAGATATTACCAGACTCATTTGCCAATTTCGTAAATCAGGCAAACTTATTATTATTAACAGTTCATGATTGTATCAATTTATATTCTAAATTTTCTGCCACACTCACTTTCCACTATCTGAGATATTCCAAACTGCTATTTTTATAAGCTTTATGTTCTAGTTTAGTAAATGTAAAATATTTATGACTGGGAAAATAAGTGTCAGACTCAAAATGTTTGTTTTTTGTCACTAAGAGAACAGTTTATTTTCATATACACCGATTGGAAAAATGAGTACGAGTAAAATTCACTGCCTCCTGAACTAATTGTAAAATTTCAGAATCAATCAAATGGCACGATTTTTCTTAATTTATTAATTTCTGTTCTGAAATCTGAAATGTGTGGATAGATGTGCGATAAATGTTCTAATTATTTTTGGGGGGGCTAATTTGATTTTTGGGGGGGCTTAGCCCCCCCAAGCCCCCTCCTAACTTCGCCCATGTCCGGGATGCACTGAAAAAGAAAGAAACATTCGTTTGTGCCTTCCTAGACATATAGAAGGAGCATTTAACAACACGCCACACGAGTCTGTCAAAAGAGCACTTGCACACAGAGGAGTAAATAGCACCACATCCAGATGGATGGCTAAACTGCTATCTACGAGAACTGCAGGTACACCAATAGGGCAGGACACCATCTCTATCTGCACAACCAGAGGATGTCCTCAAGGAAGAGTTCTATTCCCACTAATGTGGAGCTTAACAGTAGACGAACTTCTATGCAAATTGACTGACCTCGGCATACCCTGTCAAGGTTATGCCGACGACATAATTTGCTAAAGTCAAGTTTAGAAATATTCTGTGTGATATAGTCCAAAGAGGACTAGAACACACCAAAAGATGGTGCCGTTAGGTGGGACCTCACAAAAACAACCTAGTAGTCTTTTCAAGGAAAAGAAAACTCAATCTCAAAACCGTCAAATTAGAATAGATATAGAATGAAAAAATAGAGTCAAATATCTAGACCTAACCCCGGACAACAAACCTCTCTGGAACTTACATGAAAAGAAAGTAGTAAATGAGACCACAAAAGCCCTAATGGTATGCAGAAACATTGCGTGCAAAAGATGGGGATGTAACCCCAACACACTGCGACTTACAAGGTCTGGAGTAACAACTAGTTTAGCTACTACGAGTGCTAATATTTCAAAAGTACAAAGACTAGCCTGTGATTACATTGCCAGTGCAATGAGAACCTGTCCTACGGCCGCAATGGAGGTGATCTTAAACCTCACCCCTTCTACTCTAATAAAAGAGAATGTGACAAAAAGGACACGATATTGAATGATCAGGAACGGAGTAATCAGACGAAAGTCTATTAGCTTCAGGACCGAAGATACTTGGGACATGCCCCAAGATGAAATGAGAAAGAAGTACAGTTTTGTGAAAAACTCATAGAGCTGGAGAGTGGGTTGCAAGAAAGAATGAAGTCAAGAATCCATCGTGCTTGCAACCGAAAGACGTGGTATTCAGCGGTATTGGGACGGTTCCAAAACCATAGAAGTAACTAAAATAGGAGTGCATGGGCCTAGAACCAGGCACTCTGAAAGTTTGGGAAATACCCAAGCATCTCCCAGGCGGAAATTTACGCTATTGAGAAGAGTATCCAGTTTAATATCGAAAGAAACTATCGTAGACAAGAGATTATCATCATGTCTGATAGCCAAGCAGCCATCAAAGGGGTGAGCTCTTACATAATCAGCTCAAAAATGGCCTGGAGTGTCTAGGAAAATACAGTTACTCTCACTTGACATAACGGAGTACAGGGTAACGAAATTGCAGATAGTTTCGCAAGGAAAATGACTTCTCAAACACCCTTTGTAGGACTTAAGTCGTTCTGTGTTTTTAGCAGTAACACAATATTAGGAGAGATTAAAAAAGAATTGGGCGGTAGAAGAGCCGATAAATTGAACAATTTCTTGGGGCTAAGGCAGGCTAAGATACTTCTGGGTAAATATAACCACGAAAAATCGGAAGCCTGTATCTGTCTGAGCAAGAAGAGGCTACGTATTGTAACGGATCCTTACTGGGTATTGCCGACTCAAAGGACACCTAAGTAAACTGAGAGTAGTAGAAGATAGTGAGTGCAGATTCTATGAGGAGAAGGACGAAACCTTCATTGCCAGCGTCTTCAAAAGTGTTTATCCAAGACAGTCTCAAAGTGGTGTCTCGATAATTCACTTCTTCTAAATCCTGAGAAATGTTACGTAATGCCTTTTACTAGAAAAGTAACACTTATAGTTACGTTGTTCTAAATCGACCCGAATCCATAAGAGATCTCCGAGTTTATTATCTTGAACTTACTTTTGATAAACATATTGAAACAATGTTATCTGCTACTAATAGGATTATTGTTTCTTTTATGAAGCCTTAAATAATTCTGACACATTGTCCAAATACTGATCTGTAGTTTGGAACCCCGTGCATAACCTTTATATTAACTTACTTGAAGTAATTCAAAGAAAATTCATGAAATCTGCTTCCTACATTTTGGATGGTGTATACCCTACAAGGGGTTAGTGCAGATTCTATGAGGAAGAGGACGAAACCTTCATTCACATTCTGACTAAATGTGTAGCACTCCAAAATTCATATACCTAGGAGCATATTATATAGAAGAGGGAGATTTACCTAACTTGAAGCCACTCCAAATCCTACACTTTTTTGAGAAGATAGGATTGGAAGGATCGTTATAGGCAGTGAAACATTTCCTTGCTGCATTAGCGATAGAAGGGGGCACAATAGATCTTTTAGGTAGCAGTGTATTAATACCCCATTCCTAACATGTCATAACATTGTTACTGTCTATTGTCCTCCAAATTTTTCTACTATGCTATCTAAATACAATATTTAAAACGATTAGCTTGTAGCCACAGTTTACGATATATAGATACCCCGTCCTTAAGGCCCGTATTTATAAACCGATCTCAGGTGCGTCGGACGCAATTGATTCATCCTTGAAGGAATATCGAAGTTCAGCCATAACTTATCTAGAGTTCCAGGTGGTTCTAGTATTGCACTGGAATTTAGAGATGGACATTAGCAAATCCGTAACTGTTAAGTACATTTAGGGATTTCTTACTACCCATCTCTAAATTTACGCGATATAACCGAACTTCAATTTTCGTTCAAAGACGATTCAGCTGAGTCCGACTCATAATCTGATCTTTTTTTATTATAATTATTAATTTTATTTTTTAGAATCACTGTCTCGGTCTCGATCTAGAGGGAATGGTTTGAATACAGCCGGCACTAGAGTCAGTTCGAAGGCAAAATAGAAAAAGAAACAGAAGACATTTTCAAGCATCTCTTCATTAGTCCACCCTATTTATTGCCATTTTGCCGTGTTTAACGACACAAACAGTGTGCCGTCCATTTACATGGCGTAGTGTTATTTATCCTTGCCATTTCATATATACCTACATAGTGTCTCACTGTACAGGGTCATCTATTAAATTGTCACGTCGGATTAAAATAAAAATGGATATCTGGACTGGTATTGTACTTAAAAGTAACAAGTCCAAATACATCCGTATTTAGTATTTGAAACTTTAAAGTACTTGTGTAATTATCCAGCTCCTTTTTTAGAGTAATAAAAGAAAAGTTGTTGGTAATAAATAGATGACTAGTACGCGTATTTGGTTGCACTTTTAAAGAGCGAGCACTCTGCTTGGTATTTTTATCATTTGTCTAGTAAATTCTAAACGTAAATGCCTTCATGCATTGGAAGTTACAGCGAGATTAAGTATATTTTTTGAAAAATACAAAAAGATATAATTTTATACCCAATCCTCTCGCTGTAGCATTATGAATCATGAATCGTTTCTTTTTTATATAATTGAAGCTCTGTTGCACATCGGGTGTATCTAAGTTCAGCCAAATATCTACCTCCTGTGTGTGGTCCAGAACCTGAAAAATCAATCTTCGGGTTTAATGATTGTCTTATACATCTTAGCAATTTTTTCGCCTTATAACTTAAAAAGGAAACTGCGCAAAATATAGTGCTATGCTATGGATGCTACCACATAAATACAATAGACATACTCATGCTAATAATTATAATATATATAAAAATATTTTTTATAGTTATTTTGTGTCTATCTTTCGTGGTAGCTCTATTTATAAATACAGAAGAAAGCCATTCAACAACTTAACTATTTTTTCATATAAATAGTAGCCAAAATTATTTTATCACATAGTCGCTGGTTCATCAGGAAATTAGGTTTAATGATAAACACACGCCACTTAATAAGTTTCTATGGACTAAAGAATTTTCTAGCAGCTGATTCAGTTCAGCTCTACGTATAATAAAACATTTTACCATAACAAAATTTAAAACTCACTTGTCCGCCCAGATATATGTATCTCCGTCCGTTCTAAACTTTTTAAGTCCTTTGCCAGGATCGGAGACTTGTCTCCTCTTTAACTTTCAATTCCCCTTAAAGCCACCAATGCCGCATCGGTGTGAAAGACGCCATGGTTAACATGTACTAGAATCTAAGAAATTTTATAATTTTTGTTTCCAAGTAAAGGGTAGTCAAGTGACAGTCTGTAATGATTCAGATACGCTATATACTTTCCTTCTAACCTCAAAGCGTCATGCATACACTTATTAACCTTCAAGCAACCTTCATTACGTGACCGCTTTGGTAAAACTCACTTCCGTTGCCAAGAATCTATTTTTTTAGTTTATTATCATTATCACTTTCAATTTTATAATTTAAACATGACATGTCATCCGTTCCTTCTTTACATTGTATAACCTTATCTCTTTCTAGTTATTCATATAATGAAGGGATAACATCAATGAAAGATCCCACAGAGTCCTAACTCTTGAATTTTCTGTACCCGGATTGGCTCAAATGAAAATGACAATCTTTAATTATATATTCAGAAAATTTAATTACAGCTTCAAAATTCGTAGTGGTGGTTTTGGGTGAAAAATCAAAATTGAGCTTAAAACATTGTAACTTTGTATATATAATAAATAGCGAAATATAAATTAATTACATCTAAAAAAGAAGATTGTACTTTGAAATAAGTCTTGTTTAATATAATATGTCAAATAAAATTGTTTCTGAATTTAAAAACTGAATATCAAAATAACTTTTGTATTTGTTAACTAATCGTAGTCCTCGAATATTTTTAAACCATTTTCGACATGAAATAGATTTCAATTAACAATGGCAGCCATTGACCTAAATATTAATATTACTTTGTGAAATTCAAGTTAATCCTAATCGTATCCTTTAAATATTGCCCCAATTAGGCTTGCTCCACCTAAACTCTCCATTGTAGGTAATTGTAGGTTTATAATTTATACCAAGATCCTTTTTTGAGTCAAACTTATTTGTTAATCTCTAATCAAAATTTTCCACCACAAATTTAAACCAAATAGAGATTTCATTAATTACTTCTAAAACAACTTCAATATAATATAAAATCATAAATTGTGTATCCCTTTTACTATTTCAATATTTTTGTGTAAGCAAAACTACATAATTCTAATAAATTTGCCAACACGGTATGAATCGTTCTTTGTGTTGTGTTTTACGTTGGAGCATGTCACGGTTTTTGTTATTCCTGTGCATTAGTACTACTAATTTAGTAGTAATGAGGAAAAACGAGCCATCCAAAAACGTTCTTGAATATCACAAGAAACCTTCAACACAGTTAGGTAATTAAAATTCTTTGAATGCTTCACAATTATACATATAATAGTAGTAGCACTGCCGATAAAACCTACAACATATTTATGGTCATTTGAAGTCTTGAGGTATATTTATAAACTTGATCTAGTCCAAAGCTGTCACTGATTAAGTGGAATGTTTTATTCATTAAACATTAAATAATACAATCCGTAATTATGTGATTGTTGATTGGATGTTATTCTTTAAAGTTCTGCACATTATTTTCAAATAACGGCGTCAGAGCAATTGATAATATAAGGTCTTACGCACTAAATATTGTTGTCTAGTTTCCTCTACGCAACATTAAAGTTTTAATTTAAGCATTTCTTTCTGTGATATAGTTAGTGTACACAGAGCACCTTGGTTCTAATATTGTTGATTTTTTGCGTGCTGTAACTTGAACAGATTTAAAAAATAGGAATATGTAACTGTAATAGACAACATGTAGCTTACGAAAAGTATTTAACTTCAGTGTGTCTTTAGAAAAATGTAGTGTTAAGATTAAAAAAAAAAAACGTAGATGCAATGTTTGAAAACATTCGTTTCGACCATGTCCGATTGATTTTAATAAAAAAAAACTGTTATTGATACACTTAATTTCTTGTCCAAATGTAAGCTGTTATGCAAACTATAATGGGAACAACGTAAGCTTTACAAATTCTTTGGATTTTTGTTACCAGAAAATGTGGTTGCATTTTTAAAATGACTGATTTATTCAAGTATTATTTTAAATACTTATCAGATTCTAGCATTTGAAATATTCAATTATATCTTACGTTTACTTCACTGCGCTCTATTTATACACCGTTTCGCACGTAAGGCGGGCAGTACAACCTCTAGAAGTGACCAGTAACTTCGTTATTTTAAATTGAATTCCCTATATATTTTTTAAATTTAATATTCACCCTTAAATTCTGTAAACAATGATACCCCATTTGCCTACTCTAATTATAACGGATTTGGCGTTATTCAATTTTTTCTAAATTTTAGTAACAGATAGGCATTTTCTTAAAGTCGTCTATCTCAGGTACTTTTTCTATTCGATACTTGAAATTTTAGCCAAAGGTAGTAGATGGGATGTAGTTTTTAGAAATATTTACTTGTACATCGTTTGTTGTACGGGGTGTTTGGTAATTATTTTTAAAAATGAAATATTTTAAATAAAAAAAACTTTTTTATTTTTAATGGAATACCCTATATTTTTTTAACTTTTAGATTCAACATGAAATTCTGTAAACAATTATACCCCATTTGCCTATTTGAATTCTAGCAGATTTGACATTATTCAAATTTTTTTTAAATTTTTAGTCGCCGGTAGACATTTTCTTAAAGTCGTCTATCTCAGATACTATTTCTATCAGATACTTGATATTTTAGCTAAAAAGTTGTAATTCCCGCCTTACGTGAGACACAATGTATAGGTACTGAATTTTTTACTCCTAAAGTATACCTTACAATGAATTGAACATAGTTTATAGAAACATAAATATAACAGAGACATATCGCTGTTTTTGCCTGATATGTGCATGTTCCTATTATATCTTGTTCATCATTATTCGTGTTGAAAATTCCGTACCTATAACTTTAGTAAATAGGATCTGGAGACAGCATGAATAACCAAACTGGGTATCTTATTTAATTGAGGGCAGTGAGGTAGGTACAGATGCATTTTATTACAACCAAACTTTACAATTCGATTTCAAACATTCCATAAAGCAGCTCACAACAAGAATTGATTGCATCAATCCAGTTTTGTTGTCCAAAAAGATAAAACATTCCAGAAAAAAATACGTCTAAGTTTAGAATTGCAATATGATCTAGTCTCTGTGGTTTATTTATTGCTCAGCGATATTAAGGTTTAGTCGTCCACTGACTGTGACTGAAGGAAAGAGAATGATAACAATGAATTTGAACATACTTGAAAAGCTTGACCAAGCAGTAACTTTCAAAAGCTATTGAGTTATAGCTCTTGGAATGCTTCATCGAATTTTTTTTGCAATTTCTAACTTGAGTTCGAAATTTCTTCGATTTAAAACTTTAGCTAATCTTAGCTTATATTTACGCTATGTAAGTATTCTGTGTAAAATAGAACTTTTCTAGTAAACTCTTTCAAACATTTTTACATTGTAATATTAGCGTTTCCATTAGCAACCGTATGTTTAGAACTCGTATCCTTATAAATTCGGTTTAAGTATTTAGTTTTTATGATAGAAAAAATCAACGAAGTTATATTTAGGTAACCTGGAAAATTATTATTAGATAAGATTTGATGTTTAATGATTCATTTTCTCGCGTTATCAGATTAAACCACTATTTTATTAGAATTTTAGCATTTTATAATAGATAATATAACTATTGTTTGCTTTTTTTTTTTTCGAGATAAATAGAAGTGTTCATTGTTACTTTCCTAAGAATTGTTAAATCCCTTTGATTTCGTTTTAATTCTTCCTGATAAATTATGCGCAAAGTTTTAGCCTACTAATATTCTGGTATTTTTCTCATACTGGCTTGGACATTTTGGCAATTATCTCTAACCTCTTAATACCGAAAAATAATTTACTATTGAAAAGATTTATGCTCCTTGTTGCACCATGTAATGATTCTGGAATATCATGTCAATTTGATGCTCCTTCTAGAACTAGATTTAGATCTCATATCGGATTTTAAAAAATGAACACTTCCATTATTCTAGATTTTAGACCTATGAAACCAGTAACAACTAGTAGATATTTTTTTAAGAATTTTAACTGCCCAACGTTTATCATTCTCATGCCCTCGTCAGTGTTCCCAGTCAACAAAATAAAATACTAGACCTTTTCCTGTCCAATTTAAATCAATCTGTCCAATTTGTTATAAATATAACAGTGTATTATATTAATTATATTAACCTGACAACTTAAATTTTTAATATATTAAATTATTTGTACAAAAGAATCATTGCACGTTCAACTACAATCAAATTTAATCATGAATGCTCTAAAGATACAAATCAAGAATCAAGGAGTTTTAAATTTATAACAACGATGTAAAAACAGTGGATAAGGGACACCAAATATCAATTCACATATTTTTGCATATTTCATCCACATTTACGAAGCAAAAGCAATAGTAATGCAGTAATGATTCTCCAGCAATAAATTATTAATATCTCATCAAATTGGTGACTCTTATATCACAACACTGACACTGTTGTATATTTTAAAAACGCCGTATATATTTATTAAGATACATTTTTGACTGTAACATATTATAAACTTTTTGTAATGTATCTCTCAATAGTTACAATACTAGAAACTTGATATCATTCTATTTAAGTTATATAACTACTGTAATGACTTAAAAAATATTCGAGCTCTGCAAACAAAGGCTTTAACTATCCTTATACACTCTGTACAAGTAAATAGTCAGATTTAAATTGCACCGTATCTATTTTCACGTTAATGTGTAACTATATTGAATTTTCAATGCTTTCACGCAATTGAATTATTTATATTTGTGGAATACTTTATTTTCATAAAGTGTTTTTGCAACTATAAATAGATTTTACCAGATTGTAATGTATATTATTTATTCACATATTTCGCGTGAAAGACAAGTTAATTATGTTCTCGTTAACGTGAAGGGAGCTACGGTCAAAATAATACAGAAGAGGCCAAAAAAGTAGCTACTAACTTTATTTACACTTAAAATTAAATATAATAATACTGTTCTAAAATAGGTTTAAAGACAGTATTTAGGACCTATAGGTGATTTTAGTATCTACTTTTAATTTAGAGGTAGTTTTTTGGTCATTCTGTAATAAACTGTACATTCAATATGTAAATGTAAATAAGAAGATCGTTATAATTCTTGGTCATTATTTTTAAGGAAAAAACTTGCTTTTTTTGTTTTTTTTTTTACTCGATATGGGTTTGTTGTTTTTTTTTCTTAAGTTCCAAATAGTTACAAATATTTTATATATATATGTGTACATTTTTGTTGTTTACATTAAATTATTTTAACCTGATATTTTGATAGATTTTAAAGTTTATTTGTAGCTGTGGTCCTACAAGCAATTAAAAAAATACTGAATCAACTGTTTATTTATTTCATAAAAAAAATAACACTTAAACCACTAATGAATATCTGAATATCTAACAGATGCATCTGCAACGAGTTTTTTTCTTACTGCTTTCAAAAAACATATATTCCTGAAACAAGAAATTTAAATGAGTGACACAGACAGTGTGGTTGTAAATTGTGTACCCTTCTAAATCGTTAGCCAAAGCGTAGCCTTTTAGGGCGCAACTTAACAATTTTCAACATTTCTAGTGGCAAGTGGAAGCTCTTGCTATTTGTCATATCTCATTTGATTCTAAATAAATCTGTCTTATTTTATTTGGGATTTAGAAGTGAAACATTTTATGACCAAACAGTATAACACAAGTATTAAATTGAATCCGAGGGGTAAACAAACCACTGAGGATGTAGGTGTACAAAGAGGAGGATTTACAAAGATTTCTTGAGAATGTATAAGAATTTCTCGAGGATGTATGATGATTTATCGAGGATGTAGCAGAATACAAAAATGTTACCATGAATTTATTTGCCCTTAAACTATGAAAAATTGTTAATTGGAATAAATCGGGTCGGTGGTGTAGCAGTCTAACGCGCTTATATTCATTTATAGGCAAGTTTATGGTCAGAGACTGCCGGGCTTCGAATCACAGTACGGACCATGTGGATTTTAATTAAATTGCATGGTTCGGTATAGGATTTGATGTGTGCCGTATTAATAGAAATTCAATTTCTGTTGATATGACATGCAGATTATAAAAATCGCCATGCATTACCGTCTCGATGATGGTGGGTGAGGTTTTCCGGGTTTTCCACACCTGTAAGTCAAATGGCACCATCAATCATCTTTAAGTCGCTCCGGAGCGCCACGGCAAATAATAATAATAGCCGTCCCTTTCCCCGCACAAGCTCAGCTTTTGGGGTTAAAATTCACTCGTAAGGGGGTGAATAGGGAGAGTATTATTATTAAATAGGAAATAAGATTTACCTGTGAAAAATTAGAATAAAACTAAAAATTATTGGCATATTAGTCCAATTCGATATCCTGTTGAACCCGTTTCAATTGTTTCCGGAATATCTGACTTGCATTTTTAGGGAATTTTTTTAAAAATTCTGCGCAAACCACTAATCTAAAATAAAAAAATTCTAGTCCATTCGTTATCTAGAGGATATTTGTAATGAAACACCTTGCGTTATGCACTGCTTTCATTTCGCGAGCGCTATGGGCCAAACGTATAATATTATTAAAAAATTTTAAAAACAGCATTGTAACTGAATAAATACACGTTACAGTAGTTTTTTGTTCGAGTCGATAGCTTTACAATTAAGGGAATGCCAAGCGCTCAAAATCGGCTGATGTTTGATGAAAAGCAATTTTTTTTAATTGGTTTTTAAGGAAAATTATAAGTTTAACAAAATGGGGTAACTTTGATTCTCTTAATTGTAAAGGTATTGACACGAACTAAAAACTATTGTAAAGTATAATTATTCAGGTATAATGTGCTTTTCGAAAAATGTTAACATGACCACTCGTTCGGCCCTTAGCGTTTACAAAATTAAAGCAGTGCAAATCCTGACAGCGTGGCCTTCAACGTCAAGACATGCTTCTGTTCAGGATACTCTAGTTCTAGAGGGTAAATTATAAATACTAGGTAGTACTCTCGTTTTTTTTTTTGTCAGAAATCTCTGGATAAGAATAATTTTTCTTTTCAGACTATTTGCGCAGGGTTCTCAAAACTATTTTTTAAAAACACCCCTTAAAAAGTATGAAAGCCAGATAGCCCGGGAGCAATTCAAAAGGGATGATCATCAGGACCTAGAATTACACAAAAATACCAATTTGAAGCCTTATTCTAATTTTTCACAGGTAACCCCTGTCCTAAACGCTCCATTACTTGGACTAAAATAAAAACGAAATTAAATACTTTTTATTTTATTACTCTGCCAATCCATCGTTACAAAGCTTCCGTATAAAGTTTAATTTTATCAAAAGGCTCAAAAAGGGAACCAAAAATGTTCACAAAAAAATCACAATTTAGCTTAAAACGTAATTTCGATTCCAGCAACTTTTTGGTTTTCTGTCGTCATACTTTTCGATTTTTATCCTGTATATTGAGCACATATTTCGAATAGGTCAGTTATTTTCTGTTCATGCACAAACTTTTAATTATATAAATATTTTCTGCGAAACGACAAATTCAAATGTTTTTCGTATGTATCCAACTGTATGACGGACGATGTATATCATAAAGTGGATAGGCACATACAAAAATAGGTGAACACTAGCCAAAATTATGTAGAAAGGAGAATAAAAATATCTATAATGTACATCATCGTCCCCTCGTCCAGTTTTAACCCTTTAGTGAGTCCCTGGAAAATATATATTTTTTAAATTTTGACGAAGTTTATTTTAATACCGCAATTTTGGTTTATCAGGCCTACAGACAGTACAAAAAACGGAATCAGACATGTTCTGTATCTGTAACGTGCTTTGGGGCTGAGTTACCCCCCACGGCACTTAGACCTCACTAGGCCTATTGTTCATCCTTCTAGCTCGTGAACCAGTCTACAGATTTAATCTAATTGACAACGTTGCTAAGAGGTGCTTCTCTTATATCGGTCGGTGTTAGCCGATACTCGCCGAACACAAATCTTCTAATAAATGAGAGCGCCAAGCAATCGTAAAGGATATGCTCCATGGTCTCATATTCTTGTTCGCACCCTCTGCAGAGTGCGAATTCTGACAGGACCATGTTATGGAGATGCTTCCGGACCTGGCAATGACCAGTCAAAATGCCTGTGACTAGGCGCAGATTCTGCCTAGTCATAGTCAAGTATTTGCTGCAGTGTTGTCAGGATAACTTAAGACCTCCCTGGCAACTCTGCAGTTTATTGTTTCATTACATCTTTCCTTGAATCTCATAAGAAACTGTTCTTTAATTAGGTGTGTCACTACCGATTTTGTCAGGCCAATAGAAGGGCCAGATCCAAAAAGTATTTGGTTGGCTGCTTTTTTGACTAGTGAAAGGTAAACCACCTTTCGATGTGGCGTGACCATTGATCCATCTTAAGGTGACCACATTGTTGATACTTCGTCCAAAGCTTCGTGACATTCTATTACTAACCTTAAGTAAATGCGTGGTCTGTTCAGGGTGAGTAGTGCTTGTCTGCTACCTGTATAGATGAGCATGTTCCTTCCAGTGATATTGTTTCTGGTGATTTCTTTTGCTGCAATGAGAATCGCCGTTAGCTCTGATTGAACTACACTGGCACTATTGCTCACAGCCCATTTTATATTTAGGTTTTAGAATCTGGTGTATATTCAACATCCTGATCCTTGTTTTGTTTTAGAACCATCGGTGTAGATATGAATCGTACCTGCCACTTCCGGCTCTTCTATTTGTTCTGTTATAATTTTATATGGCTTATGGAAGATATATCTCGGTGAGATGGAGTCCATGTTCGCTTGAAGCAGTAGGAGCGTATCGAGCGCCTCCTGCCAATAGCGACGTCTCGCCTCACCAGATCCTACATCAGGTTCTATTCCAACCGTGCGGAGGCGTTATTGTCGTCAGAGCAACCTCGTTGATACAGATATCAAGGGGGTGAGACTAAGAATAACTTCCATTGCTCTGGTCGGTGTTGTTTTCATATCTCCTGTTATGTTGACATGCTGTTCTTTAAATTTGTTCTAGTTTACGGATAGCTGTTTTTTGGGTTTTCGGTACCCATAAAACTGCACCGTATGCTAGCATAGGTCTTATGATAGCTGTGTAAGCCCATGCGACGACTCTGGGGGAGAAACTCCAGGTGCGCTCCACGGTTCGACGGTATTGTTAATAAGCAATTTATGCTCTTTTAACTCTAAATGCAAGTTCCATGTTAACTTGCTGTCGAAGGTGAGACCTAGGTACTTCACCTCTGTTGCAAATTTTAGTTATGTGTTTAAGAGTTCTGGAGGTTTTAATTCCATTTTCATCCTTTTTCTTGTAAAACGGACCATTTTTGTCTTCTTAGTATTGATAGACAGTGAATGGTCCTTGTACCACTGTTCTATAATTTTTAGAGCTACTTGCATTCTTTCGCAGAGTATGTTCTCAAAATTCTTTGTTTGCAGAATGACCAGGTCATCTGCATATGCTATTGTGTAGTGATTGTCATTATTGAGGCGGCTGATGAGGGTGTCGAGGACCATGTTCCACAGTAGAGGTGATAGCACCCCTTCTTGTGGACATCCCCTCGCAACCAAGCCTCTTATAGTCACTTCTTCTACACTTATGTTTACTGCTTGCTTTGAGAGCATGTTATGCATCCATCTGTAGAACATTCCTGTTAGTGAGTGTATTATCTTTGGGAAGGTGCTTTTATCAAAAGCACATTCTATGTGTATGAAAACACCCAAGAGAGATCCCTGGACAATACGGAGTCCTATTGTCCAGGGATCTCTTTATCCAGCCAGCAACTAGATTAAGGACTAAATCAGTAGATCAGCCTGAGGTGTATGCATGTTGGTTTGGGTGTTGTGGTGTTATTGTTATCACCGCATCCCTTATGTACTTTTCGCATAGCCTTTCCAATGTCTTCATGGAAAACGATGTCTGACTAATTGGTCGGTATGTTTTTGGGACAGTGTAATCCATCCTTTCAGGTATCTCTCGCCATTTTTTGGAGAGCCAAAGAGGATCTGAATATACTCAGCAGTGCGTTGTAATCAAACATGTTAAGAATGATCTAAAACACATAAAGAAATTGACATGTACATTAAAAGTTAGCTCCGAATCAAATATACCACCTAAATCTTTAGTTTGATTACACATGACCAGTTCTTCATTATTAATGTTATAGTTAAAATTTGTTATGTTGACTTTTCAGCTAAAACTTATAGCTTTGCATTTTCGTATGTTGAGAAACAATTTATTGCGCATACACCAATCATATAAATTATTTAATTGTTTAAGTGATTTGGTCATAATAACTCAAATCACATAAAATTTCACTTGGTCACTTTTTGCAGTAAGCCCACGATATGACAGTGTTGCCAAATAAGTTTCTATTTTCAAAATTTTTTTACTTTTTTTTTTAATTAGAAGACCATGAACTAGAAAATAATGTTGTAATAGCCTCGAATAACTCGAAATACAAGGTGGCGCAAAATAAAGTCCCCTATTTGTTTTTTCTATAAAAGTAAGTTTAATTAAAAAATAGTTATATTATAAATGAAAAATATTTATATAAACTCTAAAAATTTGTTTTGTTACATATACTAAAAACAATATCGACCAAATGAGCTCTTTTTAAAGCACGTTTCATAACTTTCTCCAACATTTCAGGGGGTCGATTCTCGACTTTTATTCCCATGGGAAAATAAAATTTTCCCATGGGAATTCAGTTTTCGTATTCTCGGCACAAGCGGTGGAATATTTTCCAATGAGAAGTATGGGAAAATATTCCCCTGCTTACGAGCATTGGAAATTGTGTTTTCCAATGGGAATTGTACTATAGTTTGCGCATTAAAGTCGAAAATTTGACGAAAGACTACGCGAAAGACTAAGACATAACCAAAGATTATTGGATATCTTGGATTTTTGGTGAAATTGTAGTTAAAACATTTTTTTGGTGTATTTATAGATTGATATTATTTTATTTATGTGGGTATATTATTTTTACCTCTTTCACTAAGAAACTGATTTTCTTAAATTAGTTAGAAATTGTGGGAGCTGCTAAGGGACTGGCAAATAGGTAACACAAATTGAGAAATTTGTAGTAAATTTAATAAGACCTTTTCGAAAATTTTATTATTTCCGTTAACGAAAGAATTTCTTAGTTTCTCGAAACTTTCGTTGCTCTTCCATACAAAAGCTACTTTTTCTTTTTTCAACATGTGAAAAGAAAAACTAAAAATAACTCGATAAGTTTTAATTATACATAATCGAATATTTTCACTTGTCCTCGGTCATGCGAGCGATTGCTCGGCACGGCATCTGCTCCAGCGCAGAGGCTCGGCAGGTAATCGGTTACCCAAAAACCACAACAAATACAAATAATGCCAACAGTAAATTTTAAAATATCTTTAATGTTATTGGTTATTTCGAAATATTCGTGAACTTAATATCAGACATACGTGAAACTATTATCACAGCTTTATTGTTAAGCTGTGCTATTATTTCAATGGGAATGTCTATTCCGACAAGTTCGAGAATTGCATAACCTATTACCATGGGAATATAAGTAGTGGAATCTTTTCCCATGGGAAAATTTTCCAATGAACTCGAGAATCGAGCCCCAGGTGGTATTCGGTCAATTTCTTTCCGGATGTTGTCTTTTAATGCTAGTGTTCGAGGATTATTTACAAATACCCTATCTTTGACATAACCCCATAACCGAAAGTCTAGAACTGTTAAATCGGGAGACCTTGGCGGATATGCAATATCGGCGTTTTTAGAGATAAGGCGTCCAGGAAAAATTCTGATAATCGACGAATTGTTTTGATAAAAAAATTTTACGATTTCGGCACGTTCTCGAGGCATATATATCGATTCATAAAGAATTTTCCAAGTATCTACTTTGCAACTGACAGAAAAACTCGAACAGATGTCAACTACAAACGAAACCATGACAACATTCCATAGGGTACTTGATTTTGCGCCACCTTGTAAAAGCAATTTTACAAATCGCGTTAAAAATAAATCCTTCCTTTAAAAAATAAATTTCTAAAACGTGTTTTTTGACCAAAATCTCACTTTTTTTTTAAATGGCGTCTATTGAGGGCCATTTCTGACAATATGCACCATGCACCACTTAGAACATTATTTTTTAGTTTACGGCATTCAATACAAAAAAATACAAAAATTAAATTATATTTGGGAAAAAACAAAAAAGTCTGCTATTTTGTTTAAACATAATGTGCCAATTCGAAATCATGTCTCTAATATGTTTGTTACAAATTTTATCCACATTTCTTCATAAATAAAATGTGGCCCCAGTCTCAGTGTCACCCGGTATAACTTGTTAGTCACACAAAGTTAAATCACACAAAGGTAAATTATTTTATCTCATTTCGAGTATGTATGAAAGATTTATAAGGATTTCTGAGGCTGTATAAAGGATTTATGCGGATTTCCGAGAATGTGTGAGGATTTATAAGCATTTATTTCTACCAAAAGGATGTAGGTGTACAAAATTTAAGTCAGTGGTTTGCCCCTCGTTTGAACCAATATAAAAGAGGTAACAAAATATGTACGTACCAGAAGAAAAGCAGATCCCAATAAAAGAGCTTTATGCTTCGTTTCAGTAATATTACTGGGCATTTGGAGTAACATATTATAGGAAACTTGAACCTGATCCCATTGGTAAATAATGCTTCCTATTTGAGTAGATCCGTCAAAATTGTATATCTAAAACATTTTAAAGTAAAACGATGCAAGTACACTTTTTAGATTCTATATTATAGTCCACAGTTAAAATTCAGTATTGGTTTACGGCGCCGGCGCAATGAGTTACCGCTTCCATCGAAATTTTGGGTAACTAAAAAAAATTAACAGAGTATTTAGTCTCTAGGCCTATTCCATATCGCACTGTTAAAAAATTTGATAGTAAATAGAATCGATTGGAAAAAGAATCTATCGTATAAATCGATTGTGAAATATCCATTGCAAAAAAATCGACAATAAAAATCAAATAAAAAATGAAACAAATACGCAACTATAATATACTATTTCTAATTTTATTTAACAAATTTTATCTTTTTCAGTGTTAATATTTAGTTAAACATAATTTTATATGCAGAACTGTACATGGTTCGTGCAAAGCTGGCAACTTAATCGATCCATTTTCTTATTTAAAATACATTATCCTATACCAAATTTTAAGTGTGGCCTGGACTATAGAACAAAATAACCGGAAATTACCTGAAAATTTTGTGTTTTTCCCAGGAGACATCCAAATGAACTAGGACCTTCTATTCTATATAACAGCTCCCAATGCCTATTATAAACATTAAAGCTAGCTTTCATTGAAAATGAGAAATTTTGGCTTATGGTCCCTACTAATTCTCCCGGAGGTATCCATACTTCCATTTTCTAAAAGATAACCGAGATGAGATTGTACCTTGGAACAGTGGTGGCTCGTGGACAATTTTAATGGCAGAGCCACTCATCATAAAATATACGCCCCCTCGCTTTCTTTTTAAGAAATAAAGAACGATTTTATTTTCATAGTTATTTTCATTTGTAAAGAAAAAATAGTTTTATTTAAAGAAATAAGTTAGGACTTTTGTTGGGTTTTTAAGATCTTTAAGTTATTCCTCAAAACGTAAACGACTAATACCTGTAGATAACACCAAAAGGTGCAGTTACCACAAGCCAGTCGCCGTTCTAAAATCAAAGATTCTTGCTGAGTTCGATCATATAACCTCATACTAAACGATCTGCCTGAACCAAAACAAGTCCTCTGGAAATCCTCTGAACTTTCGGTAGCATAATATAAAGTATCACCTCTCGGCATCTTTACGGTATATCGATTTTCCGAACATATATTAGATAGTACTAAAAAAATAATTTAAGTAATTATGAATGAAATATGCATTGTTCGGGATACTTACAATCAGTCAGTTCAACCGTTTGTTGTATTATCAGCTGATTAGCTTCGATGAGAAAACCTAGACCTGAAGCTGGATAAATTGTTCGTCTATAATCTTGTTCAATAAGCGATACAGGAATCGGTCTTCGAGATCCAGGAACATCTGGATTGAAATACATTTAAAAAAAAATTACCAATCTAACTTTATAGTCCAAACAATGGGGAAGAATTTTTTAGTAGTTTATATACTTGTCGTGGTTACAGGTCTTAAAAATTCGAGCAAACATCAGAAGTCCCACAGGAGTCATTTTTATAAATAATATATGTAATCATTAACATCAAACATATTAAAGTTTTAGTGTATACCGACAAATTGTTGCTTTTCAACCGTTGCTTGTGTCTTCAAAAGTGTTTGTCCAAGACAGTCTTGAAGTGGTGTCTCAATAATTTACTTTTTCTAAAACCTGAGAAATGTTTCGTAATGTCTTACTAAAAAAGTAACAGCTATAGTTTTGGATTAAAAACTGCAGAACGTCGTTCTAAACTAAATCGATACTTTGATAAACATATTGAAACAATGTTATCTGATACTAATAGGAGCTTATGGTTTGTTATACGAAGCTTTAAAGAATTTGGAGACATTATTTCGAGACATATTGTTCGAATACTGTTCGTACATAACCTTTATATTGACCTACTTGAAAAAGTTCAAAGAAAATTCATGAAATATGCTTTCTACATTTTGGATGGTATATATCCTACAAGGGGATATCCCCATGATGTATTAATAATATTCCATCTTTTTAAATTTGTGAAACGCAGAAATATTCAACAAGTATTCCTACTTTATAGTCTTCTGAGTGGCATAGCCGATAGTATTGATTAGTTAAATTATCGATCTAAAAATTGCCCGTGCAGGCTTAAGAGTCTAGGTTAGGTTGATAATAAGTGGGATGATCTCATCGCCTTCCCCTGCGACCCAGATGGATCTATTGTGGTTTGTGTACAGCGTATAGGCCGCCTGGGAGAGTCTTTATCCCTTTGATACATCTCTTTGGAATGAGGGCGCTGTATGGCTTTTCTATGTGCTATCGAGGAACTAGCGAGTCTTGAGATTGTGCCGAGGATGTGGTGGTTATTATTCTCACTCATCGTCCCCGTCGTGTCCCATCGCAGTTCTTCATTGCATTGACTACCCACCTTCAGGAGTCTATAGGAAACCATCCTGGCCTCCCTTTCCAGCAAAATGTGTAGAGAGGTTAGGTCCAGAATGGTCTCCATGGCTTACGTCGTGTGGTTGGCATTGCCCCAGTGACGGAGCCGTACGTAACCATAGGGTTTACCACTGTTTGGTGAAATTTAGTAGATCAGTTAAGGACTGATCTCCCATGCTTTACTGCATATTCTTCTGAGGGTCCAGAGGGATAATCTGGCTTTGTTGATGGTTCTTTTCAACAAGGAGTTCCAGGTAAGTTTCTTATCTAGGATAATCCCCAGATATTTCAATTCCTGCGCAAAAGGAATGGTTTCCCCGGTCAAGGTAGGATGTCGAAGCTTGTCTATCTTTCTTCTCTTGGGACAGGGGACAATAATAGTTTTCCGGGGGTTAAAAGACATCTGCTACCTCTCGCACCATGTGTTGATCGTATTTAGCACTTGTTGAAGAATTTTGGAGCACCTGTTCGTATTTCCCCCTAATTATTATAACCAGATCGTCCGCATATCATTGAAAATCCACCCCTGCTGAGAGAGATCGTCCAGCAGGTTATCCACCAGAATGGTCTACAGTAGCAGTGAAAGTACGCCACCTTAAAGACATCCTGTGTCAGGCCTGAAAGTGACTTTCTCTCACTGCTGGAAGGACGATATTGAACGCGCCTTCTATGCGTAGAAAGATCCCAGCGCAATCTGTACGTATTTTAGGGACTGACCAATTTTGCCTACTAGATTGTGCAGTACATGATCTGTCGATTTGCCTGCAACAGTGTTTCAGGCCAAACTAAATACGCATACAACACTGTGCAAGAGAAATAATAAATATGTCATCTACTCGACAGCCAAGCAGCTCTAAAGGCAATTCTCTCACCAGAAATCAAATCACGACTGGTGAAAGAGCTAAGTGGTCAAAACAAAGTGACCTTAATCTGGTTATCAGGCCACGAACGATATCAGAGCAATGAAAAGACCGATGAACTAGCCCTAGAAGGCTTAGATAACGCCATGACAGGACCCGAATCCATCCAACAATAGATGTAAAAAGTCTCAAGAATGGTGGAACAACTATCCAGGATTAAGTCAGGTCAAAGAGTTCGTTAAGGAAATGTTGCCCAAAAGAGTTACTGAATCAAAAACGATAAATCGTTAGGATAACACTAGGTCCACTAAAAAGACAGAGTGTCATTAATCCAACAGAAGAAGAAACATTGTAAAAGTTCTGTGGAGATAAGGAAACATCCTGTATCAATGTGAAGGCCTGGCTAGATTGAGGTTTCTAACCCTAGGTGAAGAAAAGTCGGAAGAATGTAACTAGATGCAGGAGCCACTGTCAAAGCTACTAAGTCTAATAAAAGAGACCAAGCTAGACGACATACTCTAAATAACGCAGTCCCATAATAAATCTGAAAAGGTAGCTATGGAAAAGGATAAATAATGCGCAATTCCTCTCGAATCTAATCGGGTACAGTGGCGGCTCATGAGCTGCGAAGGTGGGGGGCGTTAATTGGCTTGAGGGTGGGGATTATGGAAAATTTGTTATTTATTTATTTTGCACTTTTTCATTAACATAGAAAAAATACCACACTGCTCACTGCGCCTTGTCAATAGTCAATAAACAAAATTAAATATGTTTTTTATAGTAAAACGTCTTACAAAAATAATTATTAAAAAAAAAACATGAAAATCGACAAATGAATATTGTTTTTAATGTTTGTTTTTACGAAAGTTCATGGCATTTTCCATGACTTTTATTTGTAATTATTTATCTCTAGAACTAAATTTCTATTTATTGATATCATAGCTAAGGCGTTTAAGTCAATTATTTAGCACAGTGCTTCCTAAAAATTCCGTGAAAACTATAAAACAACTTTAAAGAAGCAAAACAATCGCCTGACGCCTCAACATCTAAATGATTCTAAATGTTGGTCCGGCGCGAAAAAATTGCGCCCTTAATCTGTACTAGAACAGCCGACCAAGACGTACTTGATAGCGCGTGTCCCACTACGTTGTCATGGAGACGTGGGCCTCAATCTTATCACGGCCGTAAATAGTCCAGTCAAAGAGTTCATAAATTCAATAAATTGTTATTCGAGGAAGGATTCGGAGGGGACATAATAAATAACATACATGGCATGTGTCGAGACGATAGGAAAAATTATAAAATAAACAAATTAATAAGTATTTTATTCTTTGGTATCTCCGGTATTTTTGAGGAGGGGCGCGCGGCCATGTGGCCTTAAAGAGTAGCCGCCCCTGATTGGGTAGTACTTTGTAAGGGATCGTTTTTAAAATTTTTTGTACATTTATATTATTATCTACAATTTTTGGACATGGTGTCCCTAAAATGAACCGTATTGAAGATATTTGATTAAGTATATTCATATATTTTTTTACCGGAATCTATTCAGTGGAAAGTCATGTGTTGGGACACATCACACAGATGTGAAACAATAAAATTTTTGATTTTATGATATTGTTTTAACATTTTAATTCCCACTGATTTCAAATTTTAGATTTAATTAAGTCAAACACAAATAAAGTAAATTAAAAATTATTTAAAGCCTTTCAAATAAGCTATCGACCCCTATTAAAATTTTAAAATTTTTAAGGAGTTGAAATTACTGTAAAATTTTTATTGTAGAAATGTGATACATAAGAAATCATAATCGACCATCTGATCATTTTTTTTTTCGAATATTTTACAGTACAGAAGTTACAAAACTTACAGTTCCAGTACGTTCAATTTGAGTGTAGAACTATTTATAATGTACTTGGTCTTTGAAAGTAATATTTTACTATTTTTATTAGCAGCAGAAGCTTTTGTGGTATTCCTTTAGTAATTGAAAAAAATTATATAGGCCACTGAAAAAATTTTCCCCATTTTTTACAAGGTTCGTGCACTATATGACTGGACTACTAATTAAATAAAAAAACTTACCACTATTTGATGGTTGGCTAGTTATAACGGTTTCTTGTTCTGTAGGCACTGAAAACGGTTTAGATTATAATTATTTTATTAGGAAATGAATGTTTTTTAACATTCCCTTCCCCTTATAGTCATAGCAAAAATTAAAACAATTCGGATGCAATCCTTCATTTCAGTGTCATTTCTCAGAAATCAAAAATTATATTTTTGTGACATGAAGAACATTTTTAATGAATCCCTATTTTTTTATCAAGATAATTACCTGAGTTATTGGTTTGCATCGAAAAATTGTTTAACGATATATCTAAAACAAAATAAGTTATCAATATCGAAAACGCTATGTATCCCACATCATTAATAATATAAAGTTAAAATTAAAACACAATGGCCGATATAATACAATAAACAGGTACTTACTGTCCATGTTGTTTTCATTTTCCATTATTTTCTTTCGCCAAAAAATTCACCAGAAAAATATGATTCACTTCAACAGCTACTAATGTGTTTTTTGTTATAATATTATCTATATGATATCTTTATCTAATCTGGGAAATTAGTTAATGTTGGTACATTGTTTCAGACTCTTTAATCTTTTTTCAATTTCTACCAATACAGTAAACAGACTTATCTGATGAGATCATTAAAAAAAATTGAAAACCGATAACGCTATACCTGTCAACCTACTCCAATAAGAATTTTAGTAATTTAAATTTTTCTCTCGATGAACGGGAAAAACAGTAGGAGGTACAAATTGTGTAACGATAAGCCGCAGGTAGCAGTGCCGCCACGCTACAAAGGAATTAAGATGGGAATTAGAAGGGTGGAAAACACAAAAAAAGTTACATTCAAATTACTATATTTCTGAGGTTATTTTCCATCACATATATTCACAAATGCTACCCAGGATAGTGATGTAGCAGAAATAAAATATGCACGAGTGTTTTGTTTATAGTGTTTATGTGTTTATTTGCGTGAGAGAGCATCGGATTTAATTCATATAATTTATGTTTAGATTTTACCAGTGATCCACAAAAAAAATGTTTTTAAAGTAGGCCATGACTGACAAAGACAGATACGATGAGTCGCGTCCTTCTGGATTAAATCCGAACTGTCATTTAAAAAGAAGAATTTTACGCTCCGATTACATAATTTTTTCCATGGTCTACTTTAGAAATATTTTTTGACATATACCTATTTGAATAGTTGGTAAAAAATGCTTTTCAACGATATAAGTTACACCCTATACAGGGTGTTTCAATAGTACATAATTATTAAAAAGAAAATTGCTTGTTTATCTGAATTAAATATTTCTAGTACACGAATATACAATAATCTTTATTAGGTAATCTTTGGGAAAAATAAAAATAATACAGAAATCAAAGTCGTATGGATTTGTTACTTTTAATAAAAGTTTAACATTACAAAATATTTAGAGAAACGTAATTTTAGCTATGAGTTACCCATATGCAAAATGTGCAACATAAAAAAAAATAATTAAAAACTGCAATATTGGTATCAATGTTTTACTTTAAGTCAGTTTCTATATATTAAAGCATTTAAGCAAAAGTTTGTTCACTTGCACACATTTTTGACGCTTTATGGTATACAAGGTGACCAGATCAAAACGAAACAGAACCATTATCAGGAACTGCGACAACATATGAATGGATCCATTCAATTTTTGGTGAAAGGTCTTCAACTGTCTTACATCATTCTACTTTCCTCCATTACCCTAATAATTAATTCTATTTAAATATGGAAAGTACCAAGTATAACACATCATTGAAAAGGTAATTTAATGGAAAAATTAGCAATATGACTATTGATTGCTTTACTTTTTTGATTTTACCTCCCTCTAACAGAATAAAAAACTGTTACGTATTGAAAAGAGTCACAATGTGATCTTAAATAATTGAAAAACCGGGCAGAGCTCTAACGTTAAGATATACGAACTCTAATCACAATCAACCAAAATAACAATTTTACTTTACAGTACGTAAGTTTGTATTTCGCTAGAGGGCGTTAAAATCAAAAATAACGTAATAAATAATCATATTGCTAAATTTTTCATAAAATCATCTAATCAATAATATACCTGTTTAAATTTTATTGGTTAGAATGACGGCGGGGAGGGGAACGACGTATGGCAGTTGAGGATATGCTAGAAAGGTGTTGTGACTCTGGTACGTTTTCATCTAGCCATCCTGTAATACAAAGCAATGACTGAAGAAGGATTGAAGGTGAATTGAAGAAGGATTAAAAAACGATTGAAAAAGGATTGAAGAAGAATTGAAGAAGAATTGAAGAAGAATTGAAGAAGAATTGAAGAAGAATTGAAGAAGAATTGAAGAAGAATTGAAGAAGAATTGAAGAAGAATTGAAGAAGAATTGAAGAAGAATTGAAGAAGAATTGAAGAAGAATTGAAGAAGAATTGAAGAAGAATTGAAGAAGAATTGAAGAAGAATTGAAGAAGAATTGAAGAAGAATTGAAGAAGAATTGAAGAAGAATTGAAGAAGAATTGAAGAAGAATTGAAGAAGAATTGAAGAAGAATTGAAGAAGAAGTGAAGAAGAATTGAAGAAGAATTGAAGAAGAATTGAAGAAGAATTGAAGAAGAATTGAAGAAGAATTGAAGAAGAATTGAAGAAGAATTGAAGAAGAATTGAAGAATAATTGAAGAAGAATTGAAGAAGAATTGAAGAAGAATTGAAGAAGGATTGAAGAAGGATTGAAAAAGAATTGAAGAAGTATTGAAGAAGAAATGAAGAAGGATTGAAGAAGGATTGAAAAAGAATTGAAGAAGTATTGAAGAAGAAATGAAGAAGGATTGAAGGACTGAAGAATAATGAAGGCCTGACTCTAAGCTTTTTTTGTCGTAATGAGTGATATAACTTAATTGTTGTATTAAAGTTACTTTTATTGCAATAATAATTTATTCTTTAAAAAAAACTTCTAACACATCTGAATAGTCGCCTTATTTAACAAAAATGCAAGACATTTTAAAAACTAAAACTACTGCTGGTATTACTAGTTTATGAGATATGACCAATGTTAATTAAATAGTTTTTATCATAAGTAATATTATCATATTCTTTATCATAAGTAATATTTTTATAGACTTATTGCTAACTGTATTTGAGAACTAGAATTGACGGTTGTGTGAACCAAAACAAACCAATAGCTAATACGCAATTTCAGCTCTCTTGTCATCTAGTTGTGTTTTGTTTACAATATAACAATATTTCTCAAAAATACTATACTTTAGCTGATCGAGAAGTTTCAAAGCCTGCATATAGCAAAACCAAACAAAATATCTCAATTATTTTACTTTTACAGACAATTATTTAGTAGTTTTTAGAAGTTTTCTTTTTACATTTTTTAATAAGAAAAATATATTGCTCTATCATTTATTACTCATATCATAAAAGTTTTTAAAATCCCCAAACTTTTTTTATAACGCATTTTGCATATGGGCTACTCCTATTGATAACACTAAAAAATAGATAATTTGATTAAAGTGGCATTTTCGAAAAACCCTTCGAGCTAATGTCCATTAAATTACTATCTTTTTGTATAGTTAAAGTTAAATACGCCACTTTAATAGTTTAAATATACTATAAAAATAAATCTGAAACCTTTAAGGAATCAAGACGAATTTTTTGTATGAGAAAAACAACATAAACTCATATTAATAGGGTATATATTTTTTTGTTTTTTTTTTTCATTGAGTAACAGCTTTAAATGCTTCTTCTGAAGCTACATTTAACTATAGGTACACACAAGGTTACAAAGATACTAGCTTGAACGATTTTTTTATCAACATCTGACAGATACAACAGGGTCTTCACTAGTATCTTGAAATTACAGACCAGTGAGTAGGTAAGTCATAATTTTTCAGAAAAATAAGTATCCATGCAATTTCAAATCAAACGTAAAAGTAACTCATGGCTCTCCAACGAAACAAAACAGTTAACAGTAAAACTAGCTTTATTAAATTCTCTTCTCTTTCATTTTTGATTCAAGAATGTTTCATTGCATTAACAAATCGACATTTTATACAGTGATTCAGTTTGTAAGAAATGGTTTTTTAATAAAATGCACGTAAAATACTTACCTCTTTTAATCTATTTTTACACTTTTCAGCCATTTGCCCATTTTTTCCAAGCACTGCCTTTTCAGTTGTAGCCTCCGAAGGTGCCTGTTTAATTATTTCTTTTGTAAGTTATGGCTAATTTCAAAATATCTCCAATACAAGCTAGGTTGAAAATGACCTCATCGCCTTCCACTGCGACCCAGGTGGATCTATTATGGTTCATGTCTAATTAATCAGTGGCGGCTCGTAAACAACATTTTGGGGGTTCTCAGTGACAGAATATAGATATCAGTACAAATATATGAAAAAAACTTTTGGTGTTTTAGAAAGTTTACAATATACCTTTCTAAAACACTGACAGTTTTTTACCTATATCTGTACCGATATCTATATTCTGGTACTGTGAACTTCCAAAAATTTTTTTACAAGCCGCCTCTGTAATTAATATAGTTCCCATACAAGCTACACCTTCGGTACAAGTTCATTAAGACTTGATTAAGTCAATGGGCTCCAGTCAAGTGACACCAAAGAACTGGAACCTAGTTCTTTCCAAAGCGGAGCAGGTATATCAGGTTAAGGCAGTTGTATCTCTGTAAATTGAGACTGTTCTTGCCCCCTCTTGTCCTTCTTTAGTTCAATTCAGTCTGAAGCAATAAGAGCAAATTGCATCCTAAAAGAAGGACTATGCTTTTTCCTCCACTGCTCTTTCTATCAATATAACAAGTGCATTTATAAAAATAAGGACCTTCGCCTGCAGTTTTTCTTAAATTCAAACCAGTCTAAGGTAATACAGCAACTATAACGCTGAACGAATGAACATTATTTTTCATCTAATGCTCTTCTTCAATCCTGTATATGTCAAAAAGACAGTAGTATATCAGAAAAAAAATGTACCTTTCTTTTGGCGACTTATCTCCGATGCAGCTTGTGAAAGAGTTTGGGCAGCTTCAGATGAAGATAACGGACAATTCCAGGAATCACGTTATGAACAAATCTCGCCAATTTCAGCTGCTATTTACTGCGCTTCTACCTAAAATCATTTTCGTAGCGTATGCGGCGAGGTTGTAAAAAAGACGATTCATTAAAAATACAATTGCAAATCGAACTATTGAATAATATCGGTTGGTATTATTGAAATTTTCTGTAAAAATTGGTATTGATATTGACAGCGGATTTACTTCAACTTTGATCGTTTAAGGACCATTTGCACAGCTAGTCGTTAAAAAAATAAGCAAAGCTTAAAATTATTTTTTTAATAAAAAGAGGTTATTGTAAGGTTGTTCTATTTTTTAAAGACTGACAAGCAGTGCAAATGGACCTGAAATCCTTGGGAAATAAAATAACATTTAGTCACTGAAAATATTGGAAAATAAACAATATTAAATCTGTAACAATATTAAATCTGTACGGATCAAAAATGAAAAGTTCCACGCTACCTTCACAAATAAAAGTTTTCTTTGCAGAAGCACCAAGGGGGCGAAAGTATCGTTCAATAAAGTTTTTTTTGATATGTACGATAATAAAGATGTTTTTAAAGAATATTACCCTTGGTCGCTGAAAAGATGAATTTTTCCTTGTGAGCTCATGACCGAAAGTAAACATTTTTCCAATTTTCAACTAGCATTTTTTGCAATTATTGTCAACTGTCACATACTAAACGTAATGTTCCTCCCGATTCCTCAAAAAAATAGCCTTTTTTATGTGATAGAAACAAAAAAAATATCGCCCATATCTTGAGGCGTTAAAATTAGTTGTCCCTTCAAGCGAGTTGTGGTAATTTTATTGTCAAATTTTTCAGCATATAAAAATTGCAAAATCTATTTTAATCAAAAACTTAAGAGTCTAGTCTATAGTACAGTGTATCTCAAAACAGACACATTTGTAAATTTTTCTAAATTATTTATAATTTTTACGAAGTTGTCAAAAAAGTACAGCTTATTATGCACGAGTATTAAAATTTCTTTAGTTGCACAGTATACTTTTAATACGACTAAATAACAATCGAGATAATTTTTTTGGCAAAACAAATTATATCTTGTTAATTTTGAAAATAAAAAGTATCACAAATCAAAAAATACGCATTACTGATACGGATTACGGATATTCATTTTGTTTAAAGATACACTGCAGGCAAAAATAAATTAGTATGCAATACGACTCAAAACGGTACTTTAAAATTTGATGTAAAATCACATGGACACAAAATTCATCAAAGATACCTCGACAAAAAATTTATCTTGATAATATAGGTTCAAACATGGCGTCTGTTTCGGAACAAGACATTTCGCAGTCGTTAATGGCAGACGGATCTTCGGTATGCAAGGCGCGACTGACGTTGAGTAAATATCGAACAGAACGTTGGGCGACCTTCTGACATTCGTGATCCCCTTTGCACAAATCGAAGGCTTTCGCCACGAAAAGCGAGTGACATTGGCGAGTCGGAGGGAACCAGCTGTTGTTGCTCTGAAAACCATAGTACAATATTTAAAATAGATATTATTTATTTTTTATTTTATTAAAAGTCTACAAAAAATAAAACAATATATATAATATAGCACATGATAGAAAAACCGGTAAAAACTGCCCTGTTATTACTACAAGAAAATATGAAGAGCAAATATTTCCCACTTTCGAGTTAATATGTTGTAGGCCAGTCAATAAAAACAACCTATTCTGTAAACTTGAAGCAATATATATTGTATTATTTTAAACACATCAGATTTGCAACTTTTTTGAGAGTCCAGAACATGATTTTTTTTTGTAAAATGGCATTTTTGTTTATATCATTGATAAAAAAATTGAAAAGTGCTGCAAGCCAATGACATAACTCATACAAGTTTTTTAAAACAGCTATTCCAATTTGCAACATTTTATTTTGCATGGAAATATGTTTTTTTTAATAGCATAATAATTGTTTATTTTCCTCTAATTTTGTAAAAAAAATGCAAACGTTTTGAAAATTGGTTAAAAATGTTATTATTATTATTATTATTATTATTATTATTATTATTATTTTGGTAAATTTGCAACCTCGGACAAGATCCGGAACCTTCGTACTTTTTGCAGTCGCAAAAAAATTTGAGAAGAATTGCAAATTTTACATAACGATTTAAATACTTTCCTATGAGTAAATTCAAATTTGCAAATGATTGCAAATTGTCTATGACCAATTTTACTTTCCGAAATTGATAGAAAAATGTCTAGGGCAACAAAAAAATATTTAAATAATTTTTTGTTTTTGTTTATTATCGAGCTTACGGAGAATATTTATATTTACTCTGTCGATTGCAGATTTGAAATTAATTGTTCACTGATTCGTGAACAAAAAAAAAACACCTGGGTGGATTTAAGCGAAATATTCTTATGAAAAACGAAAAATCAAATTAGTCGTTATAAAAGCATCCAGTGTACAACTCGAATGGAGAAGTTTTGTTCCCAAAGTAATGGATTCGGAGAACCGTTAGATACGTACCTAAATTGCTCGAATGACGACATATTACCCGGTGACGAATACCAAGATCCAGACTACCCACATATTATCTAATTTCAAGAAGCAATGAATTTAGAAAAAATTATTATTGAGCTAACTAATATTTCTGACAATATTGGACCATCTGGTTCCAAGAAACCAAAGCTCTCATAATTTACATCATTTCAATTTGAATAATATTTCCTTTGAATTTCTTTTTTTAATTTTGTGAAAATCAAAAAATATTTCAATTTTGTTTGAAGTGGGACCAACTGTCTCAAAGTATTAAATGGTGCATTTCTTATTGTTCTTCATTTCCTGTTTTATCAATAAATATTCTGTATATAATCAAAACAATCATTATTTTAAAAAGTTACAAGTATAACTTTCTTATCAAACATAACATTCTTATGGGTCATTTAATAATGTTTTGTTATTTACTCGTCCTTATAAATGAAACCTAAAATTGACAAATGAAAAAATAAAACTACACCTGTAAGACGCTATTAGTTTTTTCTATTTCATTATTATTTTACATAAAAATTTCCATAATTTTTACAACGATAAAAATCTAATAACAAATCGTATGCAATCACAGAAATTAATATGATAAATACCAACTACTTTTTTATATTGTCGTTTAACAACCTAAAGCTAACCCTGTTCCTCTCGCCATTGCAAGCCGCTTCGTGTGTTTCGATACCGCAGAACAGAGACAAACGCACTCCTTCGAGAAATTACCAAAGAAACCGTTGCCCACCGGTTGACTAACAGACATTCTAGATTGTCGAGAATCTACTGGAGCAGAGCTGGCTTTATAGCGTGATTTTGTGGGTTAATTTTCAATACAAGTGTTGTATAGTAAAGATAGGTAAACGATGGGGATGTAACCCAAACATACTGCGATTGATGTATACTGCAATAGTGAGACCAATCCTCACTTACGGGGCTATAGCCTGGAGTAACAGAACTAGTTTAGCTACTACGAGAGCTAATATCTCAAAAGTACAAAGACTAGCCTGTGTTTGTATTACTGGTGCAATGAGAACCTGTCCTACGGCCGCAATGGAGGTGATCTTAAACCTCACCCCTTTACATTTGATGATAGAGAATGTGGAAAAAAGAACGACACGATATAGAATGATCAGGAACGGAGCAATCAGACGAAAGTATACTTGCTTCAAGACTAAAGATACTTGGGACATGCCCCAGGATGAAATGCTAAAGAAGTACAGTTTTGTGAAAAACTTCAAAACCACAGAGCTGGGCTGCAAGAAAGAATGGAGCTTGCAACCGAAAAACGTGCTATTCAGTGGTATACGGATACCATAGAAGGAACCGGATTAGGAGTGTATGGGCCAAGAACCAAGCACTCCGAAAGCTTAGGAAAATACCCAAGCATCTTCCAGGAGGAAATTCACGCCATCAAGAAGTGTATCCAGCTTAACATCGAGAGAAACTATCATAGACAAGAGATTATCATCATATCCGATAGTCAAGCAGCCATCAAAGCGCTGAGCTCTTACGTAATCAGCTTTAAGATGGTCTGGAGATGCCTAGAACAATTGAATGAGCTAGGCGAGAAAAATAGAGTTACTCTCACTTGGGTCCCGGGACATAACGGGGTAGAGGGTAACGAGATTACAGATAGTCTTGCAAGGAAAGGGACTCAAACACCCTTTGTAGGACCTGAGCCGTTCTGCGGTATCAGCAGTAACATAATATTAGGAGAAATTAAAAAAGAATTGGGCAGTAGAAGAACCGATAATTGGAACAGTCTCTTGGGGCTGAGACAGGCCAAGATACTTCTGGTGAATATAACCAGGAAAGATCGGAAGCATGCATCTGCCTGAGCAAGAACAGGGTAGGTATTGTAACAGGGATCCTTACCGGGCATTGCCGACTAATAGGACATCCAAGTAAACTGAGAGTAGTAGAGGATAGTGAGTGCAGATTCTGTGAGGAGGAGGACGAAACCTCCATTCACATCCTAACTGAATGTGTAGCACTCCAGAATCCAAGGGCACTATATCTAGGAGGATATCAAATAGAAGAGGGAGATTTACCTGTCTTGAAGCCATTTCAAATCATACACTTCCTTGAGAAAATAGGATTGGAAGGGTCGTTATAGGCATTGAGACATTTCTTTAGTGCATTGGCGACAGAAGGGGGCACAATAGATCTTTTAGGTCACAGTGTATTAACAACCCATTCTCAACATAACATAGTTAGATAAAATATTGACAAGATATCCCATTAATAAATGTCATCCTGTTTTCCCATTAATTTACATTTAAAATTAAGAAATATAAATTGTTTAAATGTCCTTCATGTTTAATAATTAATATTATGACAGTGTTACTGTTTAAAACAATAACCAATATGCAACCCACTGTCATAATTTTCTCAATAAATAGCTATATATATTTTACTAAGAGAAATATTAAATTAATTGGGTTTACATATTTATGTCTTTATGTTTTGATCCGAGCTTTTTCTTTATCAGAAACAAAAATCTATAAATAGTTCTGTCTAGAGTGACAACCCTGATATTTGTTACGAGTGGACTTTTCAGCTATATCGATATATATATATACCACAACCACCTGAATGAACTCTTTATTGAAGTGTATAATTATAAAATAGAATTATAGAAATTTACATAAAAATTTACAAAACTAAAAGTAGGTCTTGCCTTAAAGTCTAATCAAATGACCTTAACAATATAAAACCCATATATTTCTGATAACCGATAACTGCAAATTAAGAACAACTTTCTTACTAAAATGTATGTACGTTTACATATAACATAATATAACAACTATATAACAACAAAATAATAACTATACAAGGATTTTTCTTAGTTTAAACTCGAAAATACCTGTGAATATTATGCAGATGTTATTATCCTTAACATCTTGTAAATCTGAACCATTTATCACCATATCTGCATTAAATATGTTAAAATACTCGATAGGCATTTCTTACTAAAGTTACGTTAAGAAATATTTTATTAAACTCAGATTGCATGATGCGTTATTTATAACCATAGGGATATTTCTCTAACCGTGCTGGACCTATTTACTACTTCCTTCTCATGTGTGTTCCAGAGAAGTTTGTTGTCTAGGGTTAGGCCTAGATATTTGACTTCATTTTTCCATTCTATATCTATTCCGTCTAATTAAACGGTTTTGAGATTCATTTTTCTTTTCCTTGAAAAGGATATTAGTGTTGTTTTTGTAGTCCCACTTCACGGAATCATCTTTTGGTATGTTCTAATCCTCGTTGGACTATATCACACAGAATATTTCTAAACTTGCCTCTAGCAAATATGACTATGTCGTCGGTATAACCTTCACAGGTCAGTCAATCTGCATAGAAGTTCGTATACGGTTAGGCTCCACATTAGTGGGGACAGAACTCCTCCTTGTGGACATCCTCTGGTTGTGCAGATGGAGATGGTGTCCTGCCCTATCTGTGTCTCTCCAGTTCTCGTAGATAACAGCTGAGCCATCCATCTGGATGTGATGTTATCTACTCCTCTGTATGCAAATGCTCTTTTGCATCTTTGTATTGTACATATTTCTTTTAGTTTTTATGTATAAAGATTTTTAAAGATTAAATTAAATTAAATCACCATGTTTTTCTCTGTAAAGCAGTAAAGAGAAAATTATTTAAATTAGATATTACTTGTCAATGTATTTTTTAGTTCTTTCCTTAAATTTATAACACTTTTGTTTCAATTTCGCAATGAAAAATTGATCATTTACTATTACAATTTACAATTATTTTGCTATTTAAACAAAACATATTTCCGGATTTTAAATTGGAATAGTTGTTCCAAAATTTTGTATGGGTTATGTCAACGGTTTGCAGCACTTTTGCAATTTTATTATCTACATAAACAAAAACGCTATTTTACAAAAAAAAATCATGTTACTTTACAGAAATATTAATTTTATTTTGAATGTGAAAAATTTGCAAAATATTGATTATGGCTAATTTCGGCTTTTTGTCGACGGTGAGCAAAATTAATAGCATCCTAACTTACACTACACATGTGGTCATTTGCAATCAATATCTGCACATGTTACAAATTTGTTGAAATATTTTTAGATAAATAAAAAAGTGTCCTTTTAGATAAATAAAAAAATGTCCTTTTAGATAAATAAAAAAATGTCCTTTTAGATAAATGAAAAAATGTATTTTCAAATTATAAAATATGGATCAAGCCATCATGGGGGAGAGTTGCAAGTTTTTATAGGCATTTAAGGCGTGTATATTGTAATTTTGATTGTCCAGCAATCTATTAATTTAGTTTTTTGCCATTTCAACAATGTTGCAAAATCGGCTAGTTTCGACTCATTCGGTACTTTATCTTTCCACTAAACTAGGTTTAAAAAAATGTAAGAATTAATGTTAAATTCACCCGGTATAAAACAAGAGATTTTCGACCTGTTATTCAAATATGGTGTCGCCATGTATTAGCTGAATCCATTTGAATCCAATAATAATTCCATAAGGTTTTACTACTAGTAGTGCTTTATACAATGATTATCAAGACAAAGTCGGGATTCAAATCTGTTTATTCTGTTCATTCAAATGAGTGGAATTGTGTTAGACATGTCACAATGTGTTATGATAAAATAATAATTAAAATTTAATTACTGCTTTTGAAAGCTGATCGATACTTCAAGTTATCATAAAACCCACACACGTTGGTGTAATTTTAATAAGTGATGAAGGAAAATTGATATCAAAACAAGGGAAAATACATTAACTATTAATAATAAGGGTAGTGTCAAAACTACTTATACAGTCAAATATTCAGTTACATATATCATAATATTGACCCTAATAAAACCTTCTTAGAATTTCTTAGAAAAACAATCGGAATGGAACAATCACATATCGGGCTAGTAAAAATTGCTCAAGGAAAAGATGGAGCGATCACTTAGAGCTTAAAAAGGCAAAATATACAGTGTGTTTCTAAATTTTATGTCAATATTGAGATAATAATTCCTTGGCCTATTAGTAACAAAAATTTCAAATAAACATGTCTCTAAATTGCTTTTTTTTGGATACTTCAATATTAAAATTTAATGTCGAAATCCAAGGTTAAAAATATGAAAAACATAATGATATATTCAAAAACGCATATTTCACAGAAAAAGCACAAAGAAAGCAGTTTAAGGGCGGCGTCTGGCCATATCTCGAAAACTTTTTATCTGGACAATTTAAATTTTTTCTACAAAATCGTTAAAAGAAAATACTTAAAAATGATTTTAACTTTGTAACTTTCTGCTATGTCACGTGATATACCACAAATGTGTTTTCATAAAAAAATCTGTATAATTTTAAACCAAGCTTTCAAAAAAACTAAACAATATTTTGAACTTTAAAATTTGAAGTGTGATGAGTTTCATTGTTTTTCTGTGTTAGTTGTACGGGTTGTAACGGAAAGACAACATGTAAATATGTTTAGTTTTAAAGAAAATTTCTAGGCAAATCAATGCGATTATGTGTTGTTTAGATAACAAAAGTCAAAATCATTTTTCGAGTACTTTAGAACAACTCCGTTTCATAAGAAGTCTTTACAACCCCTAGGCACACTTCATGAGCGGTTTTCAATATTAAAATTAATTCCAGGAAGTATATTTTTCCCGAAAGCTTCGTTTAAAGTCAGCCGTGCATATACGGCAGATTTCTATGTGCGAACGCCAACCTTAATCAAAATATCCTCGACCTCGTAGTTTTCATGCATCACGACATAAATAGATTGTTTTTCCTGTCATTTAAAAAAAAATAATAATTATGTTCTAGCTTAATAGCTATTTATGCAACCAGTTACGAAATGCCTTATTTTATGTAACGAGTGAATATTTGCAACATGAACGAGTTACACAAAACGGCATTTCGTAACGTGTTACATACAATATTTTTCTAATTTTGACTTTGACTTTCTTGTATTGTTAGTTGCATATGCATAACTTCATTAATTTTATCAACAAATAGAAAATCATATTAATTTATTCTCAACGACTTGTTGTGGTGTGTTTATATTGCTTGTTAAAGTTATTTAGTTTTCAATAAAGTGGGTTATATTGTCGTGTAGGGGAGAGCATGGCAAAATGGTCCCTTTAACAATTTTTTAGGCTAAATATACCAAAACATTAAGTACAGTTTAATCAAACAATAAAACGAACATACCGGAACATAGTTCTCTGAAAACATGATTCCTAATGATAAGAACAACAGAAAAATAATTTAATGCTTAAAAAGCTCTACAAAGACCATTTTAAACCATGCTCAGGATAAAATGACCCTCCTCATGGGGTAAAATGACCCCTATATTTTTTTGTCAAGCAAAAGTAAAAAATCGCATATATACACTTTCTGCTTTCCTGTAACACCGCACAATGAATGAGATAATTTTTTGCACAAATTGCACATAATCCAAACCTCCTTCGCCTGCGATTTATTGAATAATTCTAAGCAAAATATACAGGCGGCGTCGTCTTCATCAAAACTTGCCCCTTTATTTTCTTTCTTTTTTCCAAACACCTTTCGGCTTATGGCTTTTCTAGCTGCTTGTAAAGTTGACCTGGGTGTTTTTATTTAACTAAAAGATAGTTTGGTGTGGAGGTAAAAACAGTTGCTCCTTGAGAAGGTCTTGAACTCTTCGTTTGAGGAGGTGCCTGAAGTAGTAGAGATATATCAAATGGGGCTACTAAGGTATCCTCCAACGAAGATCGAATTTCGTGCCTTGTATCACCAACTTTTGGTTTGGAAGTGTTAACTTTGGAATATGGGTTTGAAGTGCCGACTGAAAGGCTTATATTATCAACTTTATGATTTGAAGCAACAACTTCCGGGTTTGACGCTGCAGTGCATAAAATTTCATTTTATGATGAGTCCCCTGCATTTTTATCAAAAAGATTGACTTCATCTGAAGATTGTCCACTTGTCTCCCATTCCTCTGACTCATCTGATGAAGATATATCACGAATTTTTCTTTTCCTTATAGATAAAGTTATTGCAGACATACTTGGAAGTGAAGAAGTACCTGTTTGTGAAGAAGAACTTCTTTATTCACGGATGGGAGCACCAGTTTCATTCTCCACTAGAGGGCGATCTGTTGTGCAGGATAGTTTAAATTTCCAATCTGGGAATATATTCCGATTAAAGGGACATATTCCTGTTTTCTCAAATCAGTTGTTAAGTGTGGCAGCTCTTCTATACGCTTTCCCAAACAAGCTATAGCAATGTTATACAGCGTTACCACTTTTCCAGGATTCGTTTTAAGCCATAAAATAACTTCTTCATTAAAAAATGCCATTAGAGATAAAAATACTGCCACATCCAAAGGCTGCATCTCGTGTGTGCAATGTGGAGGAAACGACAGTATTAGAATGCCATTTTCCCTACAATATTCTATAGTTTGGACAGGCTTGTGGCTTGAATGTCCGTCAAGCAACAAAAGGACCTTATTTTCAACTGAACACTGGGTATGTTGTTGAAAATAACAGAATAAAGGTGTCAGAGATTTCATGTACCCAGATTCATTGTAAAGGCAAAGTGTTCCATATGGAACACCTTCAAATAATAATTCATTCCTTCTTTTGCGGGAGAGTATTATTGCCGAAGGAATAAATTGATCAGCAGCGTTTATACATAGAACAACGCTAACATTATGCCCCCTCTCAGCACTTGGAAACCGACCTGCTTTCGCCCTTTATGTGTTAAAATTTTGGGCAGCTTACTAGGGACCGTCTGAATACCTGACTCATCCATATTGCATATTCTCATTGGAGTGATGTTATTTTTACTAGTAATTTCACCTAAAAGAGAAAAATACTTTGCGACTTCTTCTTTATTAAAGCCTCTCGCTCTGGCAGCTGAGGTGGCCTCAGGAGTTCTAAAAGAAATCTCTGGGTGTCTCTTTAGAAAATCTCTAAACCAAGCTGTTCCAGCTGACTTTTTATCTTTAGAAAACCTATGGCTAATACTATTCGTCTCCGCAAGCTTGTAGGCCATTTGGCAAATGTTTTTTTTTTCGTCATGCCGAACAGTAGATTATCAATCTCTAAAACATACTCCTTTAAGAAAGTTTCCAATTCTTTGGGCAATGTTGTAGTGAATCTACCAAGGCTTTTTGTATGACCTTTGGCCTGAAAAAAAGTACGATGATTAGCCGACCTTTCCTTTCTTAGGTACATTTTAAAACTACTTAGCAAAAGATTAGGAATAAAGCAGTTTAATTTTGTTACACTTGTCAATTTGTTTTGATTTTTGGCCCGTCTTCTTAAAGTACTCAAGGGCAGATTATAAAGCCCAGTAGCTCTTTTAAAAGGCAAGCTATTAGAAATGCAAGCCGCATTGAATTCGGATCCCATCCTTGTCTTGTAGTTTTCTGAATGTACGTTTAACCATTATTTCTGAGAAGATAATATACATTCGACTATTATGAACTATTTTCTATTCAACTAAAAACTTTATTTGGACGGCTAAGCGAGGGTAAAATGGCCCCTGGGGTCATTTTGCCTCAACATGAAGGAACCCTTTTACCTCAAAGAGTAACAACCATACAAATGAATTTATATTAGTTACTCCTTATCATTAAAGCAATAGCAATAGACCGAAAATGTACAGAAAAAAAATACCTTTTTAAACTTCATATAATGGTTTTTTAATTACCTGAATCGAAAGTCCTATAAACACAACTTCATTGTGCATGAAATTAACAAAATCACATGCGTAGGTTATGATAAAACTAGTCCTCTACGATTCGCACATCTTCACAACTTCGTACATAGTTGGCAATAGAAGTACTGAATGTAGTAAATAAGGCTAAACGGCAGTTTCCTATAAGTTATGAGAAATATATTAGGGGACCATTTTAGCCGACTTTCCCCTAATGTGTTTTAATTCGTTTGTGCTCATTTAGAATGGAAAATAAGAACCAAAACAATATTATAACTAAACTTTACAAAATTCTATTTTTATATAGTCAACCTTCCCTTCTTAAACTTTCAATAATAATCTTCATTGTAAAACAATTTTATTTTATTTGTTTTGTTTTTGCAACTGGTGACATAATGAATTTATCGTAACCAGTTTCATAATATGATGCTGCGATTACAAAAAAATGTCACTTTATATGTCAAAATTCTATTTTTATATAGTCAACCTTCCCTTCTTAAACTTTCAATAATAATCTTCATTGTAAAACAATTTTATTTTATTTCTTTTGTTTTTGCAACTGGTGACATAATGAATTTATCGTAACGTTTCATAATATGATGCTGCGATTACAAAAAAATGTCACTTTATATGTCAAAATTAGATAAAATATTTTTTTACTTCATTTTGTTAAAAATATATCATAAATTTATTGGTATCGAATGACTTTTTTTATTACTAAACTAGACTAAACTAAGCTAACGAATTACAACATAAATAATAAAAGTTACTAAAAATCTATAACTTACTTGTTTCTTGCACAAAATAACTACACAACACGAATAAAAGCACAACAATAAAAAATCAATACTTACACATATTAAACACATCTCATGCATGTGACAGGCAGTTCTAAAAACCGGCCCATATTCTCCAACTAGTAGAGCTCCCTCATTGCAAACTCTTTCAATTGGTGGACATACTTCTACAAATTTTAAGAACATGTTAATTAATGTAATAGTAATTTAGAGCAGTATTTTTTATGCTGTTATCTGAACATCAATGGGTTAAAAAACCTGCATTATTTCACTAAGAGCATGTAACACACTTTTGATTATTACCCTTTAGTAACAGCGCATCTTTTTAACCTTCACTTTCATAAAAAAATTAAAAATGCAAAATTTTACTGTTTTTGTATAGAACGATTTTATTGTTTTAAGTGAATCGGTTATTTCAAAAACAACATAATTAAAAAAAAATTCAATAAACACAAAAAAGTTTTTTTTATACAACTATATTTCATTTAAAAAATATATATTTTTTAAATAATGTATTTAAAGTAACTAGATTATATAAATGGAATGGAAGATTTAACAAACGCAAGTCAAAGAAAAAAAAATGTATCACTTATGTGCTTTTTGAACGGAATATTTTTTTGTTTTGAACATTTATACCAAGTTCGGATTATTTTAAATTGGAAGTTAATGCTAAGATCGAGACACGGTGGGACTAGAAATACTTAAAATGTATATTAACTTTATGGTACACCCGGTATGTATAAGTTTGTAGTTTTATAAGAAATAACTTACCAGTTCCGTAATGGTTTTCAATAATCTCATTTGGAGTTTTATAATTTTGTTCATGGCAGTCTTCATTTCCTTCAGAACATTTAATATTGTTGTCACCTTCTGGATTGTCTTCGCGATCCTTATCAATAACATGTTTCCTAGGAATAGCAGTTCTTTTTTCTTCAGAAAATAAGTCATCATCATCAACAGACGGACGTCTATTCTTCAGTCTTTCTCTCTCTTTGGCGACAGCCAATTTGTATTCCCCCAAAGCTGTTCTCATTTTCTCCAAGCTGTAAGCAGCTGCAAGACGGGAAATTACTTTATCCTTAATTTCTTGGACTTCCTTGGGATCAGTTTCACCTTCATGGGCGCCTGTGAACTTCAAAGTCTCGTCCACTATCTTGTCTTCCATGACTTGCAATTTCGCATCCATATCGTTAATTTTTTGTTCTTCAGTTAGAGTTTTTTCAAGGTCTCCTGAAGAAGATTTCTTTCTTGGATCATCGTGATTGCGGAAAGAAGACATTGGTAAATCTGCGCTTCTTTTCTTATTAGACATTTTAATTATTGAATTGTGGTATCTTGCAATTAACCATTCCTTGTCTAAATCTTCCGGTTTTGAAGATTTCTTGCGTCTATCCAAACCAAAATAGTCCGACCAATCAACGGATTTCTTTTTTATCTGTAAAGGTTTCTCTCTTGGAGTAGCACTGACCGGAGTAAATTGTTCCTTATTAACAGCAGTTACCTTCTTATCCGCTTTGGTATCTTTCGTACTCTTGGGAGTAACGCTTTCTTTAACGCCTTCTTTTTTAGAAGTCGAGTGTGTTTGACTGTTTGGTTGTTTGGTTGTTGTTTCTTCAGTCTTCGCATTACCAAATATGTTGCTCAATTCTTTTTCAACTTTGGGATCAGTTTGCTTTTTCATAATGGTACGTTTGTGATCGTGTATTATCATTTCGCTGCCGCTGCTTCTTTTTGTTACAGGGAATCGCTTGGGTCCCGAATAAGGATTAGCGAACATCTGTCTGACTCTGCTTAATTTGTTATTCTGGCCATAACGCTTTTTCAAATATTGATAGTCGTCCTCGTCATCGTCGTAAACATCATCTTTTGCAGCCGCGTAGGTATCATCGTAGTATTCGCTACCAGAGTTGTCGTAATTGTTTCTTTTTCTTAAACCAGCTGCATCCAATCCAAATCTAGGAACCATCCAACGCTTATTACCCGTATTGGCATACATTTTACTAGGTCTTCTATATTTGTCCCACAATTCTTTAACAATTTCATCGTAATCTTCATTTTCGACGTTATTACCGCCTCTACTATCCATATTGTTAACTAAATTCTCTGCCATTTCTTCTAGTTGTTGCCTTTGGTTATCTTCCTCCACACGCTCACGGAATGCAGAGGAGATCCTCTTACTGACGTCCATATCGTATTTGTCACCATCTAAATTTAAAATCATCGGACATTCGTAAATGATAATAATAATAATTATTATAGCTCAATTCATAAAGAATCTATGAATTTGTTAACATATATATTTACGTTATAATTAAGTTTACCCATGTGTAAAACCTTAAAGATAAAAACTCAAAGTACACTTGTTCTAATATGATTTTAATAAATGTATTTTTCTACTACCATGCGTGAAGTACGTACTTTTTGCACGCTACGCAGCATAAATAGACATAAACGAGTTACGAGTAACTATAGTTAGTAAATGTGTCAAATTTTTTCAAACTCTGTACTTGAAAAGGCCAAATCCACAAATTTTGGTAGTTGTAATAATTGCACTTTTAGTATTAATATTACTAAATAAAAATCTAATTTATTGAGCATTGTTTTGTTAGTTATTTTGTTTTGTAAAAATTAAATATGTTGTAAATATCAAATAAATTTATGTTCTTAAAATGTACATTTATTAATTTATACATTAGTGCGTAAAGTAAATTTTGTGTTTCTAATCTTAGCCCTTTTTTCGACTCATGTGATTGTCGCAAAAAGGCCATTTATTACATAAATAACTATTTCATTCTAATTTATTTTGCGTCAATGTTAAATATAAAGAGAAAGGAAACGTAAAACAAATATCAAGCCTCGTATACTAAAATATACACTAGAACAAACCGAATGATGAATTTAACTATACTTTTTTTCTAAATTCTTCAAGGATATACACGTAGGAAACTATTAAGGATGACTTTAAGTTTAAGTTAAATATAACGGCGCATCCAGTACAGTATCTTACCTCGTCCATATCCGGTTGGGTTGAGGAACATAAGATCTTCTGGACGCTCCAGGGTATAGGCAAATACTGCATTGTCTTCGTAATCTAGCTCTCTCTGGCGTTGGCCGAGAGCCTCCACTGCACTACGTAGAGAGTCATCTTGTGCTTTAGCTATTCCAAGAACGGCAATGACCAGTAGGAATCGCGCAAAAATGTTCATAGTGCTATAGGAAATATTCACTATTATTTACTACTAGTCGCTTAAGAAATTCTATTTATTTTGAATGCTTTTAGAATCAATATTTTTGAACTAATGATGAACTGTAAGTAGTTTTCACATAGGATGAACCATATTTAATTTCTTGGAAGTCTGATTTGCCTCTGTATCTTTCTTTTCTGGATACAGGCCAGTGAAAAGTGAAATTAAGATGATTTAAAAATAGTAAATTACTATTTATTACAACAATAAACTGTGGAAATTTCGTAAATACTCGCATTTACAATCACTGGTTTTAACTAGCTCGGTACACTAAGTACAGCTTATTCTTGAATTTTATTGACGTAGAACTTATGAGAATGAAAAAATCCGAATAAATAGTGAAGATTCCATTAGCTCAAGAGACCAAATACTTAGGAGTAATCTTTAACCACAGGTTAACATGGAATCAACACTTGCAAAAAGTCACCCAAAAGAGCACAACATGCTTTAACTTATGTCGAAGGTTGTGTGGAAAAAATTGGGAACTATAACCGAAATGTCCCTATAGCTGTATACCAGAATCATAAGGCATATGATAACTTACGGGTCGGTGGTATGGTGGTAAAAGACGGTAAGCTGGAGCCATTCGACAGCTCAACGGTATTTAAGGGCAAGCACCTGAGTACCGCGGAAGCCATGAGAACGACTTTAACAGCGGCCCTAGAAGTCATGCTAAACCTAACACTACTACATATATTCATTCAAGGTGACGCCAGATCTGTCACACACAGACTGCACAAAGGTCCATCACCCATAAGCAGTTTACATGGATGTGACTACATCGAGCTATATAAAGAGTTGGAGAACGACCAAATAATGGGAATGCCTTCAGACGAAATGCTCCCAAAGTATTGCTTTCATATAAAGTAAGTATACCAGGCAGGGAAACGTGGCCTGGTATAAAGATGGTTCCAAAACCCATGAATGTTCTGGAGTAGGTCTATCCAAGCCAAAGACAAGAATCCTACAGCTTAGATAAACATGCGACAGTATTCCAGGCAGATCTAGCAGTCATACATCACTGCACAAAAGAGGTATTAAGACATAAGGTAAATGGAAAACCCATTGTCGTTAAAAGCACTTAGTTATAAGCAGGTACACTCAAAACTTGTGTAGCTTGGGTACCAGGCCACAGAGGATATAAAGGCAAGGAAGAGGCTGATTTACTAGCCAGATAAGGAGCCTCAAAGACTTTTATTAGCCCAGAACCCTTCTGTGGTTTCACAAAGACAGCTATCACAACATACATAAAGCAGTGGATGTTTAAAAAATCTCAGGAATAGTTGAACAGTTCACCAGGACGGAGACAGGCCAAAGTGTTCTTAAAAGGACTATCGCCTAATTTCACCGAGCATCTACTAAGCTATAATAGGAAAAATATTAGAGTATTAGTAGGTTTTTTAACAGGGCATTGTAGGCTTAACAAACATATGTATATTATCGACCTGACAAAAGAAACTGTATGCCGATTCTGCCAGGAAGAGGAGTTAAGTGCAGTACACGTACTGTGCTACTACAAAAGTCTATCAAAAATTGAGATTCCTTACACTTGGAGAAGAAAACCAAGACCAACTAGCCACGCAGGAGAACTACTTCCTAGTCTATGAAGACTACTACAACAGACCGAACTAGACAAGGTACTTTAAACAACGAATAAAGGATATCCACAAGAGATCTGAAAAGGTCGAGGCTATATGGCTCACAGCCCTAATTAAATCTAAGGTATTTAACTAAATGTAAATTACAATAATATTTTATGTATATAGTTGTAGACCCCTTGTCATTAAACTAAAAAAAAATTTAACGTGACCATTTTCCATTTTTATGAAAATTTTAGATATCAGTTATATTGGACGATATAAGGGGGTTCAAATAAATTCAATATGTAAGAGTAAATTCCCAGAAATATTTTGCTACATTAATTTAATTAGCAAACTAATTAAATATTACATTATAAAATACTGTGGTTTACGGGTGTTTACTAGTATTAAGACTGATTATATCAAAACATTTCTGGAAATTTACTGTCTCTTCGAGTTAATGTTCAAATCAACACAGGATTAATTTTACGTTCAAATTATTGTCCACAATCTCAATTAACTGCAACCCACTATTAATTTAAAATATTCTATGTATATTCTGGCTTTTCTAGGAAATTTGTAGTTCGGTATTATTACAATGCGTATTGTAATTAGCGCTTTGTGCTTTTTTATTTGTGTAGGCAGTTAAATATTTTCAACTCAACAATAAAAAAAGTCCTAGTAGTCTATTAATAATTATATTGATTTCGTAGAAATACACACTTATAGATAAATTTAATAAAACAAAATGTTTACGAGACATGGATGAAAAGTGGAACATTTTTTCACCTGACAAAAGAGAAAAATGTATTGATTATTAGTTTGTTATTTATTATAGTATTTGCTGCATCACTGGGTTCCATTTCAAAACGTTTTTTTATAAACTCTTCTCATTATTTTCTATCTGCGAGTATATTTGACTAGACAAATATGAAAGTAAATATTGAAGAGGTGTATTTATAGAAGGAAAAAAATGGAAAATGTAAAGATATTTGCTAATTGGAGAAAAATGAAAAATCTCAGAACGCGACAACTTAATGAACTTGAAATAGGCACAAAATACTTAAAAACAAGTTATAGTTCCCATAGCGATTTAAACATCCATAAACATCACTTTACTATTGATATTAAAGACTGCTTAACCAAATTTAAAAATATTATTCTAAATAGTGCACTTCTACACAATCGGTTAGATAAAATTAATAGTAAAAACACAATTCAGTACCTTGGCAGAACAAGGAAGTAAAAGGGAATGTAACACATCATTATCAACAAGACTTCTAGGATACTGTTTGGTGAACCTAAAAATATTTGAGTATTTCTATAAAAATATAAAAATGTCTATCTTAGAGCGATTATGATCTGATGTGTTTGTTTAGAACAGGGTGGTAGACATTTTGAACATTTATTAAAATAATATGCTTTTTTTTATTTTGATTGTGGTGTTATTTATTTTTGTTTTCTGTTTTTTTTTCTTTTTTTCTTAACTTTTGAAATTGCTGTTTGTAATTTTTAACGGTCTACTAATTTCAAAGATAGTAGAAAAATTGAAAAATTCTGTGAATTAATAGAATTTTTTAAATAAAAAGAAATCTGTAAAAGATAATTATCAACATATTTTCATATCATTAGAAAGGTAATCGATTTCTGCATGTAATGAAATGAAAAAAATTAGGTAGTCCCATTTAAAATAATCAAGTTACCTTGGATTTAAATTTTGCAAATTGGCATAGCGATTACTTTAAACACGAAAAGGGTTTGACTTTGATCGTCTGGCAAATGTTAGTACATTTCATGCTTAGTAACACTGTAGAGTCACGGCCTTCTAAGTTTTATAAAAACTGCGATATTTAATTTTTACTAGACATCTACTTTTTGAAAAACATAACTTTGATATAAATCACCCTGTAGAACAATTGTAATTTCATCGAAAATATTATTAGGTTGTAGTCTTAGAGGTCCTACACCATGCCCCAAAAATAAATTTTAAAAATGTACCATAATAAACCCGCAATCTTCCACCTACGCACTAATGGCCCACCCTGTATATTGTAATTTACTCGTAAATCAACCTGTAACAAATATTATATATTCTACATAAAGACAATCTAGCTTTTCAGTTGGAAGAAAAAATAACTAAAATCAGCAATTCTCCACTTTAACGCCCTGTATCTCGAAAACTGGTCATGGTATCGTATTTAAAATTATATCTTTTAAAACGGTGTTCAAATTATCATATACTGAGAAAATAGTTACATTTGACTTGGAAAATTTTATACTACAAGGTGTTCGTGGTGTTTTTGTACTTTTATTAAAATAACATATCTTCCAACAAATAAGCCGCCTTGTATATTTTGAAGCTAGAGGTACACATATTTTGTGGTATTACCTTTCCCAAAAATCAATTAATAAGTAAGTACAGGGTGTTGAATTAGTCCTTAAAAAATAATTATATGTGGTTCGCACTACAAAACACCCTGTATAAGAAATGTGTACTGTGCAATATACCAAAATACCATATTGAGTAGTACTTTTTGAAAATATACTTCCCTGACGTCACAGTAGAAATAGTGAGATTTTGCAAAAAAAACTACCGTCACATCTTTCTGAATCACCCTGTAATTAAAAATATTTTAAATTTTTTTTTGTTTGGCATCGACATCTTGGTCATTAGCCTAATATTTTCAATTATACGTATGTAATAATATATTACTAAAATATGTATTAAACGTGTGTATGCAATAGAAATACAATCTAGCTCGTAAGTTGGAAAATATAAATTCCGAAAAGCTCGGCAATTTTCAACGTATATCGTACAAATACGATAATTATCGTAGTCTGTCAACACTGCTCTCTTCATTCATATATGATTCCGGCCAAACAGTGAGAGAGTGCTCTCCTACTCACATATGCAAGAATAGGTCCACTGAGTAAGAATTGTGCCTTTAAAAGCGTAACCGCTGACGTATAATACCACATCCCCAACTAGCCATTCATAAAAGTGTATTTGTTGTGAAGTCCTCATCATCATCTAATGTATAGTCCGGGAGACAGTGACAATTTTCGGTATTTATTTTCCCAGTCAGCAAACACGGATAGAAAATTGTAGGGTTAGCAATTTTAAGCAAAATTTATTTATGAGGGGGGGGTCCGATGGGTTGAAGCTGAAAATGCATCAGAACATACGAAAACACGGATCGTTTTTTTCAGTGATAGAAATAGTTCTAGTAGTAAGAGATATACTAAAGTTAAGTAAAAAAGTAGTCTGATTAATCTGTGAGTATGGATAATATATTTGGCAAGTGCATAAAATACACTTTCAAACGAGTTATGTACACAATTATTTCTACGACCACAATTATTTAAAGAATGTTCCCGGTGTTTT